AAAGACAATGACAGGCAAAACTGTACAAGGGCGAGCTGTTTATTGGGTTTTGGATTTTACGCTCAAACCCCCTACCAAATCGCCGGTGATGCCTATTTTGGATGCCGATGAAGCTCAGGCCACAAGAAAATTAATTCCTACGGCGGGAAAATTGGTCTCCCCTCAAAGGCACCGGTGCGTGATTGCGCAAAAAGTAATCCACCCCTTTGTCACGGACTGCACTTTCCAATTGCGGCCACCAACTCAAAGTACTGGACTTATACACACAGATGGTGAAGATGTTGGCACGTGCAGCTTCGTCACAAACGTCTTGGCGATCGTCAATGTGGATGTTGGCGCCGCTAGATGTGAGAACAGGTGTCTTACCACCAGGACCTACTGGATCGTTAACCACAGTTACAGTGCGAAATGGAAGGCCCTGTGATCTACAGTACTCCGCAAGGTTATTTGCGTCTTCTTCTGTTTGCCGACCGCGGGCGACGCCGCTGAAGGAAACGATATGGAATTCTATTCGGCCCTGTCCGATCTGCACTAAGCTTATGAACTTTTCCAAGATAGAACGATCAAATACCTTAAGGGCGTTTCTGGCGCAGTCGAGGGTGTCGTGCCAGTCGAAGAACACGACTAGATTATTGCCACCGGCACTTCGCTCTTGACGAGCTCGGATTAAGGGGCCCAAATCTATTCTACCCCCTGGCGCGCGAATCGCAGCACCTGCCTTACCTCTAGTAGGAACAGCTGCTGTTGATGTAGAAGTCGCCTCAGGTGGTCGCGGAGGTGGTGTTGGTGGTGTCGACACTGGTGTTGCAGGTGGACTAGGTTTTGGGGACGCGGTCTTATGGGCTTTTGGCACAGGACGATCGGGTCTAGGGGGAACTACAATAGGAGGTTGTTTAGCAGGTGGCTTAACTTTATTTTGTTTTTGCTTCTGCCTCTCCGATTGATGGTATGCCTCTAGTGCTTGGCGATGTTTTCGATCGGCAAGTGACTCTACGTGTCTTTCCCAATCTCTGTCCTGTCGTTCTTTTGAACGTGCCCAGGCCGCGTTGAGCTCCTCTTCAGTAGGCGCTGGTGGATCTGGATCAACACCTGGCTCGTAAGCTTGGCCAACAGTTACGGAGTAGTTATAGGGAGGTCTAGGAGGAGCCTTGTATTTCTTTTTGATTGGAGGACCTCCTACTTGGGGCGCACGTGCAGCCCCTTCCCGCCAGGGTGGAACTGCTGACGCCGACCTACTTGCTGCACTAACTCCGGGTGGAGGCGGCTTAGATTTAGCTGGTTGGGATGATGATCTAGGTGGTGGCAAATCTATTGATTTTGGAGGAGTCTTAGGTGTTGGGATATCAGGAACAAAAACCTCGGCTTTGGTGCCGTCTCGGAAGATTTGGGTTTGGATTGTACCTGAAACTCTTGTTGAAGAAGTTGTTATGGCAACTGGAGCCTCTTCCTCAGTTGGTGTGTCCCTGTGACGCGATCTGGAACGTTCAGCACTCTTTGCACTGGGTGACAAAAAACTACTAACACTACCTCTAGTAGTTGGAGCTTTCGGAGATGCCTGCGATGGAGTGCTGGGTTCTTGAGGCGCTAATGGAGCAGCCTCTTCCTCAACTTCTACTTCAACCTCAACTTCCTCCTCACCCTCGGGCGGGGCTTCAGGAGGGTCAGATGAGTGATCCTCTTCCTCTTCGCCTTCTGGTTCACCTGGATCGGAGGGATCTGGGTCCTCGTCCGGTGCCTCGGGCTCAGATGGAGGCCCACCTGGCGCAGCAGCAGTTGATGTTGGTTCGGGTTGAGGAATTGATCTACGTCGAGATTGGTAAACTTGCCTACGCCCAGAAGAAGTTGTTGTAACAATAGCCCTTCTTTTTGGTGGAGGAACTGTAGTTTCTTCTTCTTCTTCAACCCCGTCAACAAGCTCTGAGTCTACGGCAACTAGACCCTCAGGTTCAGAGATCGGGATTACCTGAGTATTATGGGAGGATACCAATGCAGTGTTGCTACCAACCAATGACGGATCCCGCCAAACCTCGTCAGCAAGTTCGTGGGGGTCAACGGATGATGTAGCGGTGCCAGGAATGGCAACAGGAACAGTTGTGGGTTCCCTACCTGTAGTGCCTAACGGCTTTGAGATACGCACCCAAGTGCCCTCAGAGTTTATTATCACAGGGGGATAATTACTATCAGCGGGTCTTAGGGCTATCGGTCGGGAACTAAGACTAGGGGTACCTAAGTTACCACCCCTTGCACGGCGCAACACCTCAGTGTCCTGATCTGCAAAAGAACCGTCAGCTCTCGGGGTGAGAGTGGCTGGAACCCGTGATCTAGATCGGCTCACTGGCTTAGGCGCAGCAGGTGCTGACGCAGCTGGGGTCTTATCGATGTTACCACCTTTAACTTTTCGGGCAGGGGGTGTGCCAGCTCTCTCACGTGGTCTCCCACGCTCTGCCTTATCCAAGTCGGCCGCCGATGGCGGTGGATGAGATGGTGGCGGAGGGATCGCTGTTGCAGCCCCTTCTCCTTTTGGCGTTGCAGCTCTTGGCGGCCGCTGTGGAGGAGGTCCTAAAGTTTGGTGGAAATCTCGATGTACAGGCACCGGTGGTGCTGGATAACTAGGTGCGGGTCCTAATCTTTTTAAAGGATTATCCTTAGGGGGCTTAGCAACTTTGGGGTCCGATGCTTTAGGCTTGGCCGGTTCTGGCACGGATGCTTCGCCGGATGCTTTTGGATCGGATGCTTGCTCAGCCTTTTCAAGTTTAGGGCGCTTTTCAGCAGCCCCTCCCGTGACACGTGGCGGCGGAACACTGGCTACGGATTCTGAAACTTTCGGAGCAGATTGATGGCCTGCAGGTCGAAGGGATGGCACCCACGGCGGTGGATGATTAGGTTCCTTGGGTTCTGACACTGGCTTAGGCCTAGCTTTAGCTTTCGGTGGGCCCCTTGGTGATGGAGTGTGGGTTTCTTCAGAAGAACTGACACCCCTTTCTAATGTTGGGTCAACACCTAAGGCTGTAGCTTGCTCGGGTTCAGATGGTAGTTCAGTATTTTGGGTAAACACACTAGCTTTGGCTTTTGCCTTACCTTTTGGCTGTGGACCCCTATAGGTATCGTAATCGTCCCACACGGATCTAGGTGGATCTGGATCCCCAAAAGCTTGCAAGTTAATGTGATCCCTATCGGGTAAAACAGTATTTGCAACTGTATCTGGAGCAAGATGCAATTCACCTCTTCGATAACCGTTGGTAAAAACCCAATTTCTATAAGGGGCAAAGGTATTAGCAAGATGGACTAAAATCTGGTTTAGCGTACAATGGTTGTAGAGGACTCTAAAGACACGGACAGTCCAGATCAGTTCAGCGGATGCTTCTGAGTGGTGGACGTACCTGAGCCAGAATTGTGCCTCGTTCCAAAGGAAATCAGCTAGACGATCAAAGTCGGATTGCCAACGCTGGATGAGCCTTTTAGTCTGGGCTTTCTTCCCGCCTTTAGTACCACGTACACGGGGACCTCTGGACGGTCCTGCAGGAGAATGGCCTGTCTGGACGTGCCCAGATGTTGAGGCGCCTGCGGCAGCCCCTTCCTGTTCAAGAAATGGTGATGTTGGGGGCGGTGGGACTTCGTCCTCTTCCGCTACCCCTCCAAGGTGTTGGACGTATACCGGGGAGCAAATGTCGAATTAGGATCTGGCTCAACTACGGACGGAGAGCTTCCTACGATCGGATCTGCGACGGAGTCTGCAACCTCAGCACTAGTATCCTGAACAGGGTTATTGGAAAAATCAGCTTCTTCTTTTGGAATTAGATTTTCGGGGTTATCACTTTCAAGATTGGTATCTGCTTCAGCTAAGCCGGATGCTGCAGCTTGATCGGACGGAACAGTGGGTTCGGCTTCGAGTGCCTCAAATAACTCTTCAGCAGTGACCTCTTCAGGTTTGACTGGGTCGAGCAATGAAAGTGCGTCGAACTTCAAGATGTCGAAGTCCTCCTCGTCGCCTGGGGCGCAACTTGCAGCCCCTCCCACGTCCACCTGGTCAGTTGTCAGCTCGGGCGCGTCTTCAGAGGCGTCTGCCCAGTTGAATCCAGTACTACCTTCAACAGCGACTTCAGCGCTTTCAGCGGCTTCCGCCTCTGCTTCCGGGTTCCCGTCAGCAACCGGTTCGGCGGCGCTCAAAGCAGCCTCCTCCAACAGACCCTCTGGTACCATAAAACAGTGAAACAGGAAATCAGCGAAAAAGATGGGATAGTGAACGAGGTTGCGTGGGGCCTAAGTTACCGACAAGGGAGTTTAAGACTTTCCCAGCAAAAGAACACTAAGCCAATACGGCTGATAACCAGAGAAACAAGGGGAAAAACAACAAAACACCGTTTAAACTCCCTTGTCCCAAAGATGTAAACATGCGCCCCCTTTTGTGCGAGGGCGACTTGAGCCAGGTAAATGGCAGGCTACTGCATTAAACCCCGACCGCTGGATTAGGGGATAATGCTTCCTACTCTATACATGGCTACACCTATAACTAGCGCTTCTAATTATAGGTTGTCTATGGAGTTGTGATGACTGTACAATCTATTGGAGTGTTGGTCAAATAGCTACAGCATGGAGTGAACTATTACTAGTATATACAGTGGTGGTATAGGGGTCGTAATATTTCTACTATTATGGTATAAATTTATTAAGTACTATAGCTACTAGTTACAGATTTTCTTGAATGGTGAATCAAATGCAAGCAAAATATCCAACTCGAATTCAGTGATAAATGTAACGTGTTCAGTCTTTTTGGGGTTACTGTAAGATGAGAAAGGGGTGCTGATAGATTAAACAAATGGACAAATCATGCGAAATGGGTCTATTATCCCGTAGTTGGGTACCCCAAGATAATTAATGTCCCTATTAAAACCGAAACATTGGATGATTATCAATTCCCCCCAGTTTAGGAACCCACACATTTTTTTAATACTGTTTCAATCACCATGAGCAATTTTCGTCGATAGCAACGCAGCCGATACCTCGATAAGTTGATTTGGCAATCTCCGTCTGCGAGTATTTCACCTGCAGTGCACAGTCGGATAACCGCGCCATGCTGCGCTTTGCAGATACTTTTGACTTCACTTTTCACAACTTTGCCCATAGTATATGGTATACCAAATTCAGGACCCACCAAACCACTACGTAGACCCTCCTGGGTAAATGTATGGGCATCTTGCGGGCATTTTTTGTACTCGGGGGGTCTAGGCTGGATGCCAAGTGGCTCCGTAGAATTTCTCCGTTTCTTTGGCTGCCGCATCCCGCGCAAACACGCGGTAACGCGCCCGAGTGGGCGTCAGCTGCTCTAGGATCTTTTCCTCGGTTTCCAATGTGGATGCCACGGGGTTTAGCCAATCAAAAATGGTGATTTCACCATCAACAATAGGGATTTCATGGGATTTCACCGTCACCAATGAAATCCAATGAATAAGGATAGGATGTTCAAAGTTAAACTAAAAATAATGGTGATTCTTGCGGTGATAAGAAGGGTTATCATGTGACATGATGGGATAAGATCAACAATTGTGGGCAATGGGTATATGGGTTATGGGTTGTCTGAAAATTGGTACATATTGTTCAGCCCATGTGCGGATCATGTATCATCATCTGGAAAATCGACATGTTGATAAGTTTTCTATAGACTTAGACCCTTCAAGTAGCCACTTAAAAGTGCCTAAACGTTCCAACTCAGAATGGGGATCTGACCAATTTCCAGGCATTTGGAGGCATTTCCAGGCAAGTCCAGTTCTCCCCGCGTGCCCAGGCTGCCCAGGTGCGATGGCTTTGTTGATGGAGCCAGCACTGGGACCATCAGCTGGTGGATCGGACAGCAAAAAACGATTGCTCAGGTAGACATCTGGTGACAAACCATCCTGCGGTCTTCGGAGAAATCTCGGGACGTAGCGCTCGCTACCGGGCAGGTCGAGGAGGCAGCTTTGGATCAGTGGATAACAAGATGATTTCAGCTGTTGTGCTCCTAAGTTTCGTACTTTTTTCGATAACCTCATCATGATCATCGTATGATTGTTCTTGCTATTGAATCCACCATCAATTCGGTATACCCCCCTTGCATTTCCACCAACACCCCCATGTGTTTTTGCTTCAAGCTGTTTAAAGAAAAGGCCGGCAAAACCTAAACTAGCTACTAAACGAGACAAATAAGATCATATAAGATAACCAAAAGCCCAAGACATTTCTTCCCCAGCCCCCCAGCCATCCTCAGACAATCCCCGGATTTTTTCAGCTTAAATCACCATCAATTGGGTCTGTCAATGGCGTCTATCCCCAAAAAATCAGTAACAAAATCGGAACAAATGATCATACCCTCTGGTAATTTAACATAGCTATTGAAAATGGCTATTTATAGTGGATTTTCCCATTGAAAATGGTGGATCTTTCCATAGTTGTGTTAGTTTACCAGAGGGTAATCTATGGATAACTATGGATGTTTCAATGGATTTTTCACCATTTTCAATGGCTTTTCCACCCGCAACGCGGTGGATCCTGCATGAGATCCACGGCGTCCAAGCACAGCGGCTGCGAGTTGCGCTTCTCCGCGAAGCGCCAGCGGAGCTCCGCCAGGCTGCGGCACTCCTGGTGATTTCGTGGCCATGTCGTGGAATCAATAGGGATACCCTCTGGTAAACTAACATAGCTATGGAAAATCACCATTTATTATGGGAAAACTCACTATAAATGGCCATTTTCAATAGCTACGTTAAATTACCAGAGGGTAAATGATGGGATAAAGTTGGATACCCTTTGGTAATTTAACATAGCTATGGAAAATCACGATGTTCAATGGGTAAATCCACTATAAATGGCAATGTTCAATGATGGGGTAAAGTTGGATAATCATGGGATAATCAATCATCATGAAAAACTGGATAATCAATCATCAATCTATATTTTTTAATGATGGGATAATTATTGATGGAGAATAGTGGAATATTTATCCCATCATTTCAAAATAGAGAATAGGACAACTTTATCCCATCAATAGAGAATAGTGGAATATTTATAAATGTTGGACAATCATCATCATAGATCACTTATAGAATTAGTGGATAATATAGTGGAATCCCACTCAATGTTCATATTCCATTTTTTTTAATAACATTGACTGGTTTATATAGTGGAATCAATAGTCCGAAAAATGATGGGATAATCAATAGATGGAATCTGGGATCAATGATGGGATCATGGGAGCATTGGAATAATGATGGGATAATCTTATGACATCCCATCTTAGTCTGTTTTGATAATACAACCTTTAGTGATAATGACTCTAGTGACTCTGATTATCTGATAATCATGGGATAAATGATGGGATAAACCATGAACATGAAGAGTTTGGACTAACATTGATTTTGGACCTGTGAGTTATGTATAAAGGGATTGACTTAAGAACTGAAGATTATGTTATAAATGTGATGATTTGGTCCAAGCGGGTTCAATGTTCTTCGACCAACGCATGAATAAATCACCAACAGAAAATGGAGATCTGTTATAATGAATTAATGTAAGTTGGGTAAAGTCATCAACCAAGAATCAGAATATAAGATGAATCAATAAGTGATACAGTAGGATCACCAAAAATGATGATGAAATAGGCAAATCTACTCTTCTCATCTCTTCTCCCAGAGCAGAACTTTTCCTCTATTCTTCATGAATTCCACCCGCGTTTTATTTGGGGTATGTAACATTCGGAGAAAGGGATTAAATCTCAATCATCAAAGAAGTGAAATGTGAAGGGATTTCATGATTTAAGATGATTTAAGCATATTTAAGTACCAATAATGAGGAGAGAGTGGAATTTCAAATCGAAGGAATCCAATAGAGAGTTTGGAAATACCCAGCATATCTCAGCAATTCTCAGCAGATCAATATCTCCCAACATCCTTTCCGACGTTTTAAGTGCCATTTTAGAAGCCATGGGAAGCCATGGGAACACCAGGGGAACCCATCCACCTCGATGGTGTAGCCTGGCACGGCATTCAAGCCGCCCTCCCTTAAGCGCGCAAGGACAGTGAAAACTGCAGCGATGATCTGGTTCTTTTGCCGCAATCCTTCCTGACACGTGTGGCACGTGTCCAAAGTGGCATTGTCATGGGGCACCAATGGACTCACAAAATGCGTCAGGAAGTGATCATTATGTGATAATTTTGACATATGTTTGACATTTTTGATCCATAGCCATGTCTTTAGGATGGCTCTGAGCCGCTGTCTTTGAGTCATACTTTGCTTTCCAGTCATCTCAGAAAGCACCTCATGCTAGACCAGTCCTCTGAGACGTCAAAGCTCAAGCGGAAAATGGCAAAGTCATCTTGGTCAAAGTTGACCCCAGCCGTGGTACGATTGACCCACCCTTTGCCTGGCAGCTGCATGCAGCTGCGACAGCAGTTCACTGAAGTTCACTGATCCAAATTTTAAAAAAAACTACTTCCAGTTGGCCCAACTCCACGTTTGTCAGTTCCACGTTTGTCACACATGTTTCGGTTACTTGTTTTGCCCAGTGAGCTACCATCTAAATCTTTAGTTTCGATGAAAATTCCTAGTTTTCATCAAGGATTAATACGAGTAACTGATGTTCTTGTATTTTCCGAGCTATTCATTTTAGATTCAAACTGGTTTCAGATCTTCCCACTTCCAGTAATTTTACTTCTCAGGCCCAGGGCCAGGCGGCCTTTCAATATGCTGTGCATTGAGCCAGGTCCCTCATGTCCCAAGATCTGCGCCACATAGTCCTGTGCCTTCGCCAGGAGAAACCTGGCCACTTTCGGGTTTCCCGGACCCCCAAAACAAACCGCCAAGATCGGCCCACATTTCTACATAGGGAACGAATCGACATAGGGCTGGCCTGGGACCGCCCAAATCATCCAAATCAGAGAAACACTCAGAATCTAGGCAATGGCATGGGGTGTGTAATGGTGTGTAACAAGAACTGGGGCCCCAAAAAACCGGAGATGGAGCCATATTACTGCAGCCTTCCACTCCCACTTCTGGGAAGCTTTCAACGGATTCGTCCAGCAATAGAGTATACCCAAAACGTATGGCTATAGGATATAGTTTATGTTTGTTGATATATCTAATGATGGTTGATTAGTCATTGGATTGTTGGGTACCCTATCTTTGAACAAGTCCAAAAAAAACAAAAGCCCTGTTGACTCAACAAAACCAAGGCACTCCTTCCGCGCTTCAAAGTTCTCAAAGTAGAAGGCCCACTCCAGCAACAATGAGCCTAGGAAGTACATGGTGTCCCTCTATGATCATCTATGTTTGCGGATTCAATTATCACTATTATTACCTCAACAAATTCTATAAAGTTCGATATCTCTACCATAAACCAAACAGGTATAACATGTTACAACATTTATATAAAGGTTAAACAAAAAAAAACGACAAGATGTGAAGCCAGCAACGGGCTTCCGACACGGGCACGGCCTCCAAGAGTTGCGGTGTCTGCGGCGGGTAAGGATTTCCCCAGCGGCGGTCCAATTTCATTCGCTGGGGCACGGCACCAAAGGACTCCTCCACTGCGGATTGCAGGACGTTCAGGGGCTCCTGGCGGCGAGGCTGGGGGATCCTGATATCACTGATATATATATATATACATATATATATACATATATATATATACACATATACGTACATATATATATATACATATATATATACATATATATATACACATATATGTACATATATATATATATACATATATATATATACATATATATATACACATATATGTACATATATATATACATATATATATATATACATATATATATACACATATATGTACATATATATATACATATATATATACATATATATACACATATATGTACATATATATATATATACATATATATATATACATATATATATATACATATATATATACACATATATGTACATATATATATATACATATATATATACATATATATATACACATATATGTACATATATATATACATATATATATACATATATATATATACATATATATATATACATATATATATATACATACATATGTATATATATATACATATATATATACATACATATGTATATATATAAATATGTATACATACTGATATCCTATCTTAGCTGTGGCCATTTGAGTTGCCCAAAATCAAGGGATTGACATGGATTGAGATGGATTTTGGGGGGTCCAAAGTTTGAGACAATGGCATTTCAGTGGGTCAGTGTCAGTGTCAGTTGGGGCACAACTTCACCTGACCTCACATCCACATGTGTACCAACAAGCATTTACCCTGCTTCATCTCGAGAAACAGATACCAGGGCACTTTGGACATGGATGACATGGCAACCCAGTCCCAACCTTGCCGACCACGCAAAGTGCCATGATGCGCGGGTCGTAGCCCTGGAAGTATCTCTGCAATTCTTCTCTAAGCACCTCTGGGCCTGCAGGCTGCTGCTCATGATGCTCATGATGTTCATGATGCTCATGATGCTGCTCATGATGCTCATGCTGTTGCAATCTTGGGACTGACTTCAGCAAGGATTCCATCATTGTTTAATCAACAGAAGCTGAAACATCCAGGTGACATGATTGCATGTGAAGTTTATTTAATCGCAGAATATAGTAATAGAATATACTCATCCTCCCATGTCGTGTATCCCACGAAAACGGTTTCATGAAGACTCCGGCCCCACCATAACCAAATAGTTGACTGTGTCCCAAAATCATCAACAAAAACATAACTGATCAGTAAAAAATACTTTACTTCGAGTTATCCCCACCATGACATCTATACGTTTTGTTACTGGCAAATCTTCTGGCATTCTATCTGACATATCTTCTGGCATTTTATCTGGCATATCTTCTGGCATTCTATCTGGCATATCTTCTGGCATTCTACCTGGCATATCTTCTGGCACTCTATCTGGCATATCTTCTGGCATATCTTCTGACATTCTATCTGGCATTCTATCTGGCAAATCTTCTGCCGATCTATCTGGCAAACATTCTGGCACTTTATCTGGCATACCTTCTGGCATTCTATCTGACATTCTATCTGGCATACCTTCTGGCATTCTATCTGGCATATCTTCTGGCATTCTATCTGGCAAACATTCTGGCACTTTATCTGGCATATCTTCTTCTGGCATTCTTTCTGACATTCTATCTGGCGTTCTATCTGGCATATCTTCTGGCATTCTATCTGGCCGTTGAGGTCCAGCGGTGCTCACTGAGCTCGGAGGGTCCCAGGTTGAGGTCCAGCGGTGCTCACTGAGCTCGGAGGGTCCCAGGTTGAGGTCCAGCGGCGCTCACTGAGCTCGGACGGTCCCAGGTTGAGAGCGGTGCTCACTGAGCTCGGAAGGTCCCAGGTTGAGGTCCAGCGGTGCCCAGTGCGCTCAGACCCTTGCAGTTGAGGTCCAGCAGTGCCCACTGCGTGCGGAAGTTGGCGAAGAGCTTGGCGAAGAGTTGGCAAGGCGGAAGTGAACATGGAAGTGGAGGCAGAGGTGGTGGAGGAGAAGGAGGAGGAGGAGAAGAAGGAGGAGAAGAACAACTCTGATAAAATCTAACAACCCTCACCTGGCAGGTGGGGAAAAAATGTGTCCCCCAAAGAAAAACGATGGCCATCAATCGGGGCCGTCATCCCATCCCAACCAATTTTCTTCACGACAGGTCGGACGATTTCTGCCTTTTGCCAACAGGGTCTGCCGGTTGCCGCAGCCAAAATGTCTTTCTGGATGGCTTTCTGCGGCGGTGCTTTTCAGCACCTGTTGTAGCCGGAACCCGTCCTCACGATCCAGCGGTTCAATGGCTTAGTCTTTTCATGGAAAAACTGCAGGAGAAACCTGTTCTTCCTTACTGTACTGATTACGTGTTTAATATCCTTTTATCCACAAACATATAGTCAAATCATATCAAATATATTCAAATATGAGCTATAGGATGTTCCTGTCATTCATTCATGTCTGCCTTCATCCAATGGGAGTGAGAGAAAACATGCCATCACATACTACACCAACTTCAGAAAACTCAGCAAGTTGCAAGTTGAATCTTTATGACTGTCTCCTTGCATCAAAGGAACGCTCTCACGGTTCTTGGCAAACTCCGAGTCAATCGCGCTGACCTTAAACTGACATGATCATAGCATTCACAGTCAGAAGGATTTTCACATATTTTCACATCCTCCACTAAGCCTCCAAATTGGGTGCAGCTTCAGGCTGGAGCCTACATGAGCCTAGAAGATCTCCACCCTGAAACATGTTTTGAGCCGCGACCCCCATGGTCCATGAATGTCCATGACCATGGCCCCATGGCCCGCCTCTCTCTCAGTCGCCGAGGCGGTGAAAAGTGGCTCCTTGAAGAAACTGCCAAAGCGTTTCAGCGATTCAAGCAACGCTCCTGCGCGAAGATCTTGGAACTCAGGGAGAGGATGGACAGGGATGGACAGCCGAATCCATCCAGGATGGGTTTTTGAAGAAAATCCAGGCTGAAATGCTGAAATACCCTGGAAGGTTTTGACGCTCTTGAGAGTAGAGCGATCATGAAGGTATCTAGAAAGTGTTGGTGGAACAAGTGACAATAATTGAATATTAATATATTTTTTTTCTCATACTGCATCCAGAAGCGAATCCCGCTGCGGCAGCTTGCAAATGTCTCTATTAATTATCTCCTCCTAGCGCTGGCCAGCGAAGTCAGCTCCAATGTTCGTGCCCATGTCTGTACAATGCATGGTGGCACAGCGTGACAGAAAAGCTGGCGGCATTGGCTGGAGGTCCTTGCCCTCACGGGAAGGGAATGAGTTGAGGAAACCTTCAGCTATCGCCCTACAGAAAGCTGGTGGGTATTCCTTTAATTTGGCCGTTCGGAAATTGCCGTGCTCATCGACCCCGATCGTTTGCGTTTTGGGGAGATTGCGGCAAAGTGCATTGGCCCTAATGAATTGTGGCAATGTCGGCATGTTGAGCGTGAGCAGGCCAGTTCTCTTGGCACTGTCAGCACCCAACAAGCCCTGTGCACATTCCAACAGGTCAAAACCCTCTAATGAAAGCAGCATTCGAATTAGTGGCAGGCGCCAAATGCTCGCAGCGTGCTCATCCGTCGGCTCGCCCGGATGCTCAAGGAGTCCGCAGCCACCAGTGATGTGCAAGGCGCTCATTGCCAAAACGCTGAAGCCAAGAAGAACATGTCCATCATGTAGTTGGAGCATCTCCTTGATGGAGACTGATTGCATTCCCCATAGCTCAGCTCGCGTTCGAATGATGCGGGGGCCTTTCGGTTTGGCAGAAGGCTGGCAGGGATCAGCCTTGCCACGCGCTGCTGACCACGTGCAGCAGGGTGGCCCACTGAGTAGGCCAATGACCTTGCCGTCCAAGATGGCTGCCAACCAAAACTTCTGCACTTCTTCACGTCCAATGTTCCCCCATTCCTCGTTGATCACGATGTCGAGGGAGATGACCATGACATCTTCCATGTCTTTTGAAGCTGCGATCTCCTCCATGTACCACTGTACGTCCCCCGGCCTTCTTCGGCCAGAGTATGCGTGCACCACAATGCGTTCTCTGTAGAAGATACGATGGCAGTGCGTAGAGCGCTTCCAAGGTTGATCACAATCTGCCAGAGTCGCACACCAGTGCTCGTAGAGATCGAGATCATAGAGGTGGTCACAGTTGGCCGTGTCATAGAGCACCTCAGTCAGAAACCCCCAAGTGTTGGGATCTCCCAGGCGGTCCAAAACATCCAGGAATGGCAATCTGCCCACACTGACCTCTGCAAGGAACTCTTCAGTGAGTGAGTCGGCCAGATAAACCAGTGTCTCCCTGGTTTGCGTCCACCCAATTGGTTCTTGCAGGATAGTCTCCTTCATCTTCAGGAAAAGCTCATCAGCATCAGAGCCAGTGAAGTCAAGCGCCAGAATTGCCAAAGCCTCCAAAAGTTCATTGTGATGGCATTCAATGGCACGTTGCGGAACTGGCTGTTCAAGGGGTCCACTGCCTTGCAAAACCGGCAGAAGACCATCATGTTGGTCCCGCAGCTGCGAGTTCACACTGGAGCCAATGCCCGGCACCAAGGGTCGCTGAAGTCTTCTTGCATGAAGCACCGCACGGCAGGATGTCGCAGTGCGTAGATGATTTTGGAGTTTATCAAAAGAGTGGTACTCTTTGAGGCAAGCTTCACAGGCTGTGCTGGCGATCCACTGTCGTTCAAAGGCTGTGATGCCATGTACCTTGAAAAGGTGCGCCCCTTCTCCGCCCCTGGTTCGGCACCTCTTCTGGCATTGCATGCATCCAAAGAAGCTGTCACATTGTGCAGTGAGCAGAGTTGGTTTCACAGGCGCTGATTGCAGTGTTCCGTGTGTCTCCAGCATCGCCAGAGTGTCACGATGCAGGGTGCGAAGCAAAAGACGATCTTCATGCTGGAGCGCGCACAGTTTCTGGGCCCTCTGTAGGATGGTTTTCCAGTAGCTCCGATGGTACCGGAGGATGTATTCCCACTCAGCAAAGTGGAGCCTCGGGTCCCGGAGCTTGGTAGTGCGTGAAACCAGATTCCAAAGCCATAGAAGATCGTCCATAATCTGTTGACACCATGCCTGATCTTGCCGGATAACTGCCCATGGAGTGACCGTCTCGCACTTATAGAGCAGGGCCACGTAGCGAAGCCTGGTGATTCTCAGTCCAATGTCAGGATGTGGAAGGTGGGCTTGCTCCAAGATGATATCATCTGATATCGCCACGTCCGGCTTGACCTTAAGAAGGCGTCGATATAGTCGAAAAATGGCGCTGTGATAGTATGACTTCGTGCGCTTGTCCTCAAAGAGCCAAGAGTCCATGCCATATGTGACCTTGCTCATCACCATGGTGTTGAAGAGATCAGCACGCTGTCGTGTAGAGAAATGGGGATTCTGGAAGAGCGTACGCCTCTGTGTGGAGAAAGCGGCGTTGCCTTGGGCAATTTTGCGTCGAATCTCCTTGTGCGTAGTCCCAGAGTGATGCGCAATGTTGCCCAAGTGGTTGTATTGTCCCACAACCGTAATGGTGTGGTGGCCATACTCCGTGAGGACCTCCATCTTGTGGCCCTGGGCCATGCTGAAATACTTCCGCCGAAGTCGTTGTGCTCCTTTACCTCGAAAGCTGAAAAGGACCTCACTTTTCCCCTTGTCCAAATTTGGAGAGACACCATGCGCTGTGCATACTTCCAACAATATGCTGGCTGCTGCGCTGGCCCGCCTCTCAACACCTTCAGCTGTTGCTCCTGTGATGGTGATGCAAAGATCATCCATCCATGTAGGGCCGAGCATTGTATGTTTGACAACGTCGTTCTTGTCACTGCTGGGAAAGAGTCCAGTCACTGTGACATCCTCGATCGTCTCAAGAACTCCGATGGCATCAAGCTTCTGTTCCACCTCTGTCAGGATGCGTGCAAACATGTAGCCGAAAACGACGTCTGCAAAAGGGTCGCCTGGACGGCTTCCCAAGCGAGTGTGTATCCGGTCATCCTGTCCGTGCATCCAGAAGTGTGTGTGAGTATGAAGCGCCTGGAGCGTTCTCCGCTGATGTGGTGCCATGTTGGCACGTTCTGTTCCCGATGGATCTCGCAGCAATTGTTGTAGATCGTGTAGAGCTTCCGCAGGCAAATGCAAACGTGCCGCGACCAAAGCCAGGAGTTCATCTGGAATGGGGCCGCCAATTGATAGCGGCCTCAACACGCGATAGAAAGCTTCTCGAAGGTCAAGGAAGATCAATGCGTGCGACTGTTTGTACCGTCGTGCAGCCCGGGCAGCAGCTCTAATGAAGTGCACGCCCATTGTGACCGGTATGGCTTTACGGCCACCGATCTGTTCTGCCTGAAGGAAGGACTCATAGGTCTGTGATTGGTGTGAGCGAACTGCTCGATGCACGGTTTTCGCCACATGAGAGCTGATCAGTAGCGATCTGTATGATTCGCAAGCCATTTGAGATCCCTTGCGTTTCCATGCAGCAACCAAAAGTCCACCCTTGTGGATCAAGGCCTCTTGACCATGGGTGCACAGCTTCAAAAGCTGTCCGTACACCGCCCGAGCAAGACGGGTCGGGTACAGATGACATAGTTCCGGAGGAACATTGTCTGCACCAACTGCTTTGTGAGGGCGTACTCGACGAAATGCGATCTCAAGATCCGTCAAAGTCGGGATGTCATCCGGGCTGAGATGGAGTTCCTGCTGGATGAACTGGGCCAAACCCTCTCTCCATTGCTCCCGAAGCTCCTCTTTTGTAACGCGCTCTCCTCCTTCCATCAAGCTGAAAAATTCAACCCAGCGTCGGCATAAGTCAAGCTTGGTGGTGACTGGGTGTCCTTGTTCGTCGGCAATCATGGGAAGTGGGGAGGCACGCTTCAGCTTAGGGTTACTCGTGCCGATGATTGGTTTCAGGCGGCTGAGGATGTGTGCAGGTGCGCAATCAGTGGGCAATTGCGCTATAGCATCAGCTACCTCATGTGCTCTTGCCCTCATCAGCTGTTTTCTGATGCGTCTGGTGCAAGTCCAAATTTCCAGACCCAGACGAAGACGTTGAGTGAAGTCAGCTGGCTTGCTCATGGGAAACAAAGGGCTGTCTCCGTCATCTGGACATCTCCAAGATCTGAAGATCGCTGCCAGAAGCTGTCTTCGGGCATCTCGCTGAAGTTGCCGTTGTCTTCGCTGTAGGCGTATCTTGTTGGCACGGAGCTCCCAGACTTCAGTCGTGATGAAACTTTTCTTTGGCCCTTGGCGTCGTGGCGGGCAGAGAGTGTGCAGCTGCTGATTGACATAGGCATTGAAGTGGGCCACATGCTGCTCAATGTCAGTGTCCCAGCTGCTCGGGCGATATGCACGCAAAGTGGCTTCCATGTTCTCAGACGTGATCGCTGTGCGATCATGTCCACTTTTGTGTGCCCTTGGTCGTGATCTTTGGATGTCGCCATGCCAGTCAACTTGAACAGCGACAGCTTGATGATCACCAAGATGACCAAAGTCAAGAGCCTCGAGATTCTCTGACCATGTGCAATAGTTTTTCCAGCCACAAGGCACTAGGACATAGTCAATGCGGTGTAGTGAACCATCAACTGGACTTGTCCAGGTCCCACGGGGTCCTTGATGTATATCAAGCGTGGAAGGTGCGCACAAATGGCAGTCCTGCAAAAAATGTCTGAGCACTTTTGTAGTGGGAGTCTCATGATCATCAAAGGCGAAGATGTGCTTCTCGTCACTGGGCCCGCTGGGTGCGTTTGCGTCAATCATGACAACCAGGTGGCTCTCTCCAGTGTAGGTGGCAACCAGAGTTGTGAGCTGGTGCCACCAATCTTCCCGTACATCAATGGGAGCTCCACTGTGTGGTGCATGAGCTGTCAGGAGCCAAAAGTCCAGATCATGATTGTGGACATGTACAAGAAGATGTCGATGGCTGGTCGAGACCACCACAAAGTCTGTGCGTTCAAAGAAGCTTGGTTTCGCTCCATGCCAAGCATATGGCTGTCCAAGATTGATCCATAGTTCAACGCCCAACTGCCCATTATCACTGCCCCCAGCAAGACGTAAAACGCGATGCTGAAGCGATGAGCCACATTCTGTTCGAGCTTCTTGCACCCCAAGGAAGTTGACTTTATGAGCAACGAATTGTTCTCGAACATAAGCCAACTTGCCAGCGAAGCCTTCATTGCCTTTGTAAAATGTTCGCACATTTGCCGTGGCAAAACTGAGCTGGAACTTCGCAGGACTTGGAGTCAACTCAGAGCCACCAGTTTCTTGTTTCTCGTTCATCTCTGTGATGGGAGGCAGAGAAACTGGGCTGACGTCTAAACCTCCTTGTGTCGTCCTGGGTAGATCACGTTGTCGTTGTACCAGCATCCAGAGACATTTCAAGATGGGTGTGAAGGTCTTCATGTGCAGCGTCTGGCGTGGCAGGTGTAGGCTTCCTTGTCCTTCACGTTTTGCCAACCAGTCTACCAGCTCGTTGTGCGGATCTCCCGCATGGCTGCGCACATGGGCCACTCGTAGCTGGTCTCCTGGCAAAATCGCCTCTAGCGTCTGGAAGACTTCTCGAAGGCGATAGAATGGTGGCTCGGCCAGCTGAGTGCCGATCCGTCCAGCTGCCTGATCTCCGACAAGACGGGAGTCGCTGACAAAAATCGTCGGAATTCTGTCGTTCTGGGCCACCCGCCATAAGCCCGCCCACAGGAGGGCCTCAGTTTCGGCTGAGTCGGAGCTGATCCTCTCCGTGCCGACATAGTGTGGGGCTTCTGGGTCATACAAGACCTGATGGCACTGAAAGCCCATGAATTGCAGGCGCGATGCCTGCCCTGGAACATCACCATACTGTTCTGCAAAGACCGCAAAAGCCCAGGAATCGCAGATATCATGTTCGGCTACCCAAAGAGGTGGTTTGTGACGCAGCTGTGTCTGAGAAGAACCATCAGTGAAAATCACATATCTGTCAATGCGCTCAACCTGATGGCATTCCTCAAGTGCTGTCTGCACAAAGTCCGGCAAATCCAATATGTCAGAAATGTGTGCAGCTCTTGCATGTCGAGCTGGATCAGACAATCTGCTCCAGATGGCAACTGCTCGAGTGACTGAAAGGGCTGCGTGAAGTCTGTCTGAACCTCCTGTTGGCTTGGCCAGGGCGTTCTTTGTCGAGCGGGTCGCTCTGTGACAGCTTGCTTGGGCTGAACATCTTCAAAGTGGATGCATGTCAATGAGTTGTGCCAACGTTCCTTTGTCATGAGGACTGCCTTGGTGTATCCTTGGGAATGAAGCCATCTCGTGTGATCTAAATCACGAAGAGCTGCGGGGCTAGTTCGGACAAGAATGCCGTCTTTGACGTCAGTCTCTCGACTGCAAAATACATATGTGAAATGTCTCATGCAACCAGTGGAGGAGAAGTCGACAAAGACGTCATCGTGAGCTCCGCACAGAAAGGCTTGGCAATCATGTCCCCAGGCTCGCATCTCCAGCTGGACGTCATCCACATTGTATATTGATGGCATTTCAACATAGGTCGGCACTTTGTCGGCTGTTTCTGAAGTTGCATTGTGATGGATTCGCACCATGACCCGACCTTCAGGCGTAGCCCAGTCTTGTGGAACTGCTTGTCCAATCTCAGGGAAGTCTATGGACCTCTCCAACGGCCACTGACCATGAGCCACCGTGTCAGTTGTTAGGCGCTCGTTGGGGGCCGGGCTGTGTGCTCTCCGCTGTAGCAGAGTGCTCAGTTGTAAGAGAACTGGCGCTTCAGCCTGCACAGGTCGAGGCAGTGCTCTCATGTGTATGTCAATGCCATATCCACTGCGTCCCATGAGTGCTCTGCCAATGAAGAGCTCAACTTGGTTGAAGTGGGCTTGGCATTGATGGCTTGGTTGGTGTCCGATGCATTGATGTAGTAGATTCAGCACTGTGAGAATCACCTCCAGCAGAATGTGCTCGTGAGTAGTCACAGCCATCTGTCGTGGTGGTGCGAGCAAATTAAGGTCATCATAGACCGTAATAAGCGATGTGACCCATGCTTCTTGCGGCCGCTGGATGACCAAAACATGGCCGGCTATTGTGTTGTCATGTGTCCATGGCTTGGGATGCACAAGGTGCAATTCAATCAAAGCTCCAGGGACAATGTATTCCGGCCAGGTGTGGATGATGCGTCTCTCCCAGTCACTGGAATCTTCATGTAAGCGTACCACTCGATATGCAGTGGCATGTGGCCATTGCCATCCGTGATCAATGAACCAAACAGCAACTTGACAGGAAGGTTCTTCTTCTTCCCATGAGAATGCAACGTCAGTCCATGCTCTTTGAAGTGAGTCTACAAATTCACTTGCAGCGAAGAGGTTCACGCCAAGCGGATTAAAAGCCGGCGCATCTGCATTGAACTGGAATGGTCTACATTCAGCAGGTCTTGCAGGCAAGTTGAGTCCTTGTGTGCGTGCTCCTCTTGGATGGTGATTTCGCTGCATGAAGGAGACCACATCAGGCAGGTTTGTTTAATATACGAACCGGTATTTTAGACTCTCCGGTATATTTTTTTTTTTTTCTTGGCCGCGCGGTCTCGCCCACCCTCCAGATATTGAAATGTCGTTACCATATGTATGTATATACAGTATATATATATACATTATATATACCTAGTACCTCCTGACTCCTAAGGATGAACAATGTTTTCTTTTGAACAGGACCCATATTGACATATAATGTTCATTGGTTTCCGTCAACATCCCCTGGCTCCTGGTGATACGTCAAAGAAATACGTTGTAGCCGATTCCTCGGGGGCCACCATCAGCCGGTTGCAGTTGGTTGAGAAGTGGTGGAAAAATGTTAACGTTGATTCATGTTGGGCAATGTCGGTTGATCTTGGTTGGCTACTGTTGGTTGATGTTGGTTGAGATGAGCTAACAAAACACAAGACTGACATTGACCAAGATCAACCAAACTTTAGTCTACCATAAGCCATAAGTGTAGACGTGCTTCTGTCGTGAAGGCATTCTGGCTACCCGAGTTCGCAGTGAGAAAGCGTTCAAAGGAGTTCTCCTCTGGGTACTCTTTGGTACCAAGAAAAAGCATATGCCTCGGTGTCGGGGCCAAAAGACATGTGGCTGGTCTGACCCCCAAGAGCTTGTAAAATATAAGGCTGAAGACAGTGAAGAGTCTGGTCAGCATGTGTCACTGTCATTCACGAAGTCCATACGAAAGAATTCCAAATCTGCCAATCGCTCCAAAATCCCAGCCAACATCTCCAGGCTGCTCACAAAAATGCGCCAATCCTGGTGTCAAACTGGAAATCCAAGGCATCCCCCTGATTCCACATGTTTTTTTCGCCACTCAAAGTGCCACTTTTAAAAACACATGGCACCCATCTGCCCCGGGACAGCCAGCCTTGAAAGTCAAGATCCTCCATCTTAGCTGCTTGAATCCCCATTTTTTGGATCCGTTCATGCGAAAAAATGACCCAGGGTGACCCAGTTTGAAAGGTTCAATTCCCCGAAATGGGTAAACCCCCAACATCTTAAAGGTGTAGTGTATTCTCAAGAACCCGACCAGTCTAATTCTCATGTTAGATGCATATAAATCACCCGTAACAAGACGAAAACATACTTGAACCATCTTAACGTGGTAAACCCAACAATAATGGCCCTCAAACGGTTGGCTGATGATTTTACCGCATTGAATATCATTAAATGTCATATCAAATCCCCATGTTCCATAGTTAAACATCCAGTATTGGCCATGATTAACCATTATAAATCACCATTAATCTATATATAGTTATATAACCCTTATATCCCCATTATTGGCCATTATTACTCATTATAAACCACTATTAACCACTACTGACCATCATTCCACCCATTTTGGAACCGTCCTGGCAGATCCTCTGGGTCAGAATAGAAGCCCAGGTGAACCGACAGCGCCGCGGCAGAGCTGATGGCGTCAGGATCTGAGGCTAAGAGGACCTGACATGGCAACGGCATGCCACCCAATATATCTATAATATATGTATATGTATATGTATAGTGTTATCTATCTGTCTACCTAATCTATTCTATGCTAATCTAATCTATCTATGTATCTAATCTATTCTAATCTAAACTAATCTAATCTATCTATGTATCTAATCTATCCTATTCTAAACTAATCTAATCTAATCTAATATATCTATCTAATCTATTCTATTCTATTCTAATCTAATCGGATCTAATCTGTCATTCTATCTATCTAATCTATTCTATTCTATTCTAATGCAATCTAATCTCATCTATTCTATTCTAATGCAATCTAATCTAATCGAATCTAATCTAATCTAATCTATCTATCTATCTAATTTATTCTAACCTATTCTATTCTATTCTAATCTAATTTCTATCTATCTATCTATTTATCGATCTATCTATTTATCTATCTATCTATCTCTATCTATCTATCTATATCTATCTATCTATCTATCCATCCATCTATCTATATCTATATCTATATCTATATCTATATATCTATCTATCTATCTATCTATCTATATCTATCTATATCTATCTATCTATATCTATCTATCTATATCGATCAATATCTATGTATATCTATCTATATCTATATCTATCTATATCTATCTATCTATATCAATATCTATCTATCTATCTCTATCTATCTATCTATCTATCTATATCTATCAATATCTATCAATATCTATCAATATCTGTCTATATCTGTCTATATCTATCTACATCTATCTACATCTATCTACATCTATCTGTATCTATCTATCTATCTATCTATCTATCTATCTATTTATCTATCTATATCTATCAATATCTATCAATATCTATCTATATCTGTCTATATCTATCTACATCTATCTACATCTATCTGTATCTATCTATCTATCTATCTATCTATCTATCTGTAATATATCTACTCTATTCTATTCTATTCCAATCTAATCTAATCTAATCTAATCTGATATCTATCTATCCAGCTATCAAAGTATATACATGATAATAATGAAACATACAGTATGTATATTATGTTCGTATATAATTATGTATATAATATAATATGTGATATACATTTGTGTGTGTATCTGTCTATGTATACATTTGCACGTATTGTGTTCAGAAAAGAGATAGAGAAATCATGAGAAATCCATGGTTTGCCACATGTTAACATGTCGGGGTCAAAGTTGGTCCACTCAAACAGCAGCAAGGGATATTGGGAGTGCATTAAGGAATATTGATGAATATTGGGCTTCAATTGAAACCCTTCCGAGGGGTACGAAGTGACATCTGTACAACCAAAAAAGAATGTATATAAGTAACCGTACTCATACGTTGCAAATCATGATGGACAGGCAAAGGGCAAACATACAACCTAGTACGCAGGACCAGGAAACCCTTCTGCAAGCCGCATGAGCATCGGCTGCCAAATGCAAACAAAAATGAGAAAAAAGGGCACCGAATTGAAACCTAAGGGAAAAAACTCAAACTAGAAAACACTAGAAGACGCTCCAGTATCCAGCGCAGGAAAGCTAAAAAGCGGGAAAAAAAATCATGTCACATCATGCTTAAGACCGGAGGCCTTCATCCCATTTCGAAGCGTCAAGGCCCTATAGCTCCTGGATGTTCAAAGTGCTCAGGAAAATGGCCATCAAAATGCATCAATCTGCATCAAGATGCTTCATATCATTGGGAAAATATGGAGAAGTTGACATTGATGATGATGATGATGATGATGAAGATGATGATGAAGATGAAGATGAACATGAAGATGAAGGTCAGGCATTTGTTGTGATCGGGAAAGAGCTTCGAGAGAGTACAAGAAGATTCTCCTTAAGCATCATGGTCAATGGGAACACAATAGTGCCGGTGGCGAGGGCAACGTAATTGACATCGCAGGACAACATGTCGACTTGCATGAGTCCTCGAATCCAGCGGACTTTTCAGCACTTCTCCTGGGAAAACATCACTCCTGCCAATGCATCAAAATCATGACTACAAGACTCGCTCGCAAAGCAGATTGAAACAGCTAGGCAGCCACAAAAATGTCACGCCAACATTTTTAAGAAACAGGTGTTGCCGAAATTGCTTGTCCCATGAAACAGGGCTTTGTCTCAAAATATTCGGTGCCCTGAGGCCCTGTTGTTTCATCATCCCATCGCTGTGCTGTGAACGCCTCGCCTCGTCCTTGTCTCTGCCGAAGCAGCTATGGATGGTACCAAAGCAGCTTGACCAAGACCCGTCAAGACCTGGTGCCAGACAAAGCCAAACCCTGAAAAATAACATGGCTCTTGTACTGTACATGTTTCCTGGAATAGCTGCTAGACCCCATATTTCATAAGCCATGCCCAAATTACCTGCATTAAAAGTTGGGAATAGTTGGGATATCAAACAAACATCCCAAGAAAGGTTCAGAACTTGGCCATGCCTTTCTCCGTCCTCGACTCACTTTCGTGACAGCAGCAATGGCCATGGCCAACGGCACACCATCCTGGGGTGGCACCCCTCACCATGGAATTTTCTCTGAAAAACCGTTCGGAAAACCCATCAATCAATTGGATGATTCGATGATAACTTGGGTTTTAGCCATGACTCGACGGAAACCTCCATGTTTCGTTGGCGCCTTGATTGATAGTGTGAGTAGTTGGATACTTGTAGCATACACCACCGGTCCATCTTCTGTGAACACCGGGTTCAAATCTAGACGGACTGCCCAGCGCCTCTCAAAAAAAGACCTGCAGAAAAGTAGATTCCTATACTATATATATATATGAATTACAAGCTGGTAAGAGATTCTACTACTTTTAAGATGGTACATAGATATATCATTGATATATCTGGGGATGGGTCAAAATAGCTGGTAAATGGATGTTCATCCCCCTAAAAATGGTATGTATAGGTATTGATCCATCCCCATCTACTTCTGCTCCATGGTGGTATCTTTACCTACACGGAGCCGTTGGTCTCCTGCAGCGCGCGCAACGCGGACGTCTGCCCCTTTTCTCGGCGTGGCGGGTCGCTGCGGCCGCTGCGCCGCTGAGGTGGCGCCCGGGCCAGACGCAGCGGGGACAGGCTGGGGGTCAGCGCCATCAGCGCCATGGCAACGCGACAAAGGTCGAAAAATGGGGGAAAATACCGATGAAATGGAGAATTAATATGAATTAATGTGAATTATTCATGAGATTTAATGAGTAACAGTAGATCAATGACTGTTAGAGTAGATTCAATGAATAAGATACCGGTTTAAATAGACCGTTACAAATTCTTACAGAAGATTAATGGCTAATGGATGCTAATGGGTACGAGTAGTATATTCCACCCATTTTCATGTGTAGACTTGGATTGTTCATGAGTAACGATATACCCTTTGAACTATGGCTGTTCCAATAACATTGGCTGTTTTCAGTTTATGACAAAAAACAACAGGGTCATGTTCCCATTCTGACTTGGGACTTTGCTCAAAAAAAACGCTTCTTAGAAGATCTAAGCTGAAATGTGGTGGGAGTCGATTCTGGCCGCGATTCGGACAATTGGTCGAATTGGTCATCTCGGTTGTTCAAGGTGAAGCCATCTTGCCAATCTCTGAATCTCTACTGTCCCTGGCTTTTGGTCAGTTTTTGGCTTTATGGTTCAAGCAGGGGCTTGCGAGCCCGAAAAAGGTCAACTGCGGGGCGCAGGGACCAATCATTGGTCATTGGCCTTCATTGCTACTCTTGAGACATCTTTAAAAGAAAATTTTGGACAGCCTTTCTATGGTATCCCATGATGTGAGGAACTTGCTTCCTCATTTGGGTTGTCAACAAAAATTCAGTAGCTTATCATACTCTTTCCACATTTGTCCAGTCAAGATGACCATAAATTGGCCGTAAATGCTCCGAGTTTCAAGAACAAAACCCATGTCATAGTTGTTGTTCTATATCCCCGTCATATCCCATGAAATAAAGAACAAACAGAACGATTACATAATCCAAAAAAAAAATATGGACAACATGGAAACCACTTATTGAAAAAATGGACACCGCTTAAGTGTGTTGGAATATATATGGACACCACTTATTGAAATATAGATGGACACCACTTATATGGAAACCAACCACTTATTATTAAAAATAATGGAAACCAATTAAGTGTGTTGGTTTTGCTTTTCGATGTTTTCTCCCCCCAATTGGCCCCATGAAAATCGGGATCTTCCCCAACTCTGGGACCACAGCTGCGGCGGGAAATGAACTGCACGGCCTCTGTACCTTTCGCCTCAGGGGTCCAAAGATGTCGGGATTGGTCATTAAAAAAGATGCAATTTCCTGGTGTTCATATGGGTATGAATCAATACCTATAAAAATACCATTTTTAGAGGGTTATTCACATCCATATAAATCCCAGCTATTTTGATGTGAACAGAAGGGGTACTATTGGTTTTGACACACTGCCATATCAAAATAGCTGGGATTAATGATCAACCTCCACAGCTTTAATGGTATTTATAGGTGGTGATAGATAGCTTGGATAGGAGATTGATCTGCAATTTCTACAGTAAGCCCAGAAAAGATAGAACACATGTGTTTTTGCCACTGTTTCAATGGGAAGTTGTTTTTTCCATCTTTTTCGGGGCTGATTGCTACATGAAATAATTATACAACTTATGATAATGTATGTCTATTCAAAATGCCAAAACGATGTCAAAACCATTACATAGACGATACACATCAATCTTCCAATGACGAATTGCCCGTTGCATTGTGCATTATTTTTTGACAGGATAGGATTGCCTCATTTTCAAATCAGGGAAAAATTGCCAAAGAACTTCCACAACTTTAGCCTTCCAATGGTTAAATCGCCCATTGTTCATGGTTTTTTCGCATCATTTTGAATGGTTAAATCACCATGTCCCAGACATCCACGACCAAAAAGAGCTCAACGTCTAGGTCTTCCAACCATACACTCCTCGCAGTCACATGGTCGAAGTTCGGCCTCCAACAGCGGTGGATCATGCCATGCCATATCCCCACTACGGATCATGCCATGGCATGGTTTTTATTTACCTGAAAAAAGCATCAAAAAGGCCTGTGAAAAACCTGTTTTTTTTGGTGGCCATCAAAAACGGGGTCTCCTTTTGAGCCCCGTTTTTAACGGAACACGCCGAAAGTCGTAGCCGTCTCCATTTGAAACGTTGGTGATATTCCCACGGAATATCCCATGGACATATCCCATTGAGGATGCTTCTCATATCCTATGATTGATTCTTAGTGGTCAATATCCCATTAATTAATAGTAAATAGTATTGTTTGATATTGTTTGTTTTTTTTTTAAAAAAAAAACATATAGCTAATATCCCAAACTATCCCATTAATAGTTACCCTCTGGTTATTTAACATTGCCATGGGAAATGGCCCATTTATAGATGGTTTACCTATTAAAAATGGTGATTTTCCATGGCTATGTTAAATAACCAGATGGTAATTAACGTGTTAATTCTCCCCAGTTTCTCCCATCGGCACCTCACGACCCCCCATGACGCCCAGAACGCGGCACAAAACCACCTCCAGGAATTGCGGAAGGATCAAGCGGACCATTCGTAGCATGGATTAATGGATTTAAAATATAGGTATTAATGGTGTATATAATATATATATAGATATATATATAGTCTTAGTTAGTTGGGATATAACTGGGATATAACATGTGGGATATACAGTATGATATAATTAGGATACAATATATGGATAGATAATCTACAGACGTTATTTTTTTGCATTTCCTTCCGCATTTCCAAATGTAAGAGATAGATACAGACAGTTTTGATATGTTTTGATTATTGGTCATTGGATGTCATGGGGCATACAAAATTGTGTCATTGTTAGTCCCTTATAAAGACACAATTGATAAAATAATCCTTCCAAAGGATATCCTTATAATATCTTATAATGTTATGACAGTAGTTGATATCCACAATTGATTATTACCCATAGGATCCATGTATGGTATATATGCTAACATTGGGGGGTATATTGATGGTAAATGTTACCATATATAGCATACATGGATCCTATGGATTATGATAATAATTGATCATATTACTTCCAAAATTGAGCCTGCACAATTGGTCATGTGCTGGTCATGTGAATCTCCACCGATGGCATCCGCATGCATCCGCCTCAGCTTTCGAAGACTCTGTGCCTCAGGGAGAGCTGCTGACAGATTGAGCCCTTCCAAACACTGGTTTCCAGATGTTTCCATGATTATTTGGTTGAACCATGTTGAACCCCCATATGTTTGGAGCAAAACATGTGGTTTCCTCTATAAGATAGGCCTGTCAATAGTCGATGTAGCGACCCTTAGAAGATAGAACAGTCATTTGTCACTATTTTGGATGGATTTTACTTTTCCATCTGGAGTGGATGCTCCCTGAGCCCCCATCCGATGAAGAAGAGCGCCCAGCTGTTCTGCCACAGCCCTGAAAAGTGTTTGGCATATTCAGAAATCCTGCAAATCTTCAATGTCATCCAAAATCACATTGACAATTTCAGCACACTCTCTCCATCAGCATCAAGAAACACCTATGGCATGGTGGGGGAAGCCTGCAACGCAAAGATGAGAATGTGCAGGAAGCTCATCAAAGTCCTTCACAGCTTTCAGTTGAACATGTCCGAATGAATCTTTGGGGCCAGTCAACGCTTGCCGAAATTCTGGCCAGTTTCACGATCATCGCCTCTTAAAGACAGATAGCATATGATAAAATATATTAAAATATATGTATAAATTAATCTTGAATCTGTGGGGTTTCCCCAGTTTTCGGGGTATCCCATAAAATATCATAAAATATCCCGAAGTTTCCCATGACTTCTTGGCCACCTCTACCCGGAGGTCCCCAGCGATCTTTTGCGCTAGCCCGGCACGAAGCATCGGGCGACACCAGCTTTGGCCATCTGTGTGGCCACGGAAATGGTCAGTTCGTCGTTTCCGGGCAACGAGACGATTTGGACCCCCACAGGAAGGCCCTTGTGCAGCCCCAAGGGGACAGCGGTGGAGGGGAATTCCATGGCATTCCTGGGAGTGGGAATGGTGGAACAGAGACCCCGAGACAGAAAGAGGTTGTTGATTTATGGTTGGAAATGGTTGGGTCGTGTTTTTATTCATGTTCACGGTGTTGTTTCAATTCAAAATCTTCAGATTCTGAATTCTGTGCCAGTAGATGTTGCACTCCTCTGCTATTGAAAAGTTAAGTTTTCAAATCTCATGGATGCCGTGATACGCCAATATCATCTGTTCGGACGAGCCAAGTCACTACAAGTTGTTTTATAAACCGAAGCCCCATAAACCGCATAAAGCAGCAAAATATTTTGGTGAAATAAGCTCACTGTGGTGAACTAGCAACCGTAAGCTGCGGCCAAGTCTCCAAATGGATGTGAAGCAGCTATCAAGAACTCTGAGGAGAGGCTCATCGTGTCTGAGGCCATGTCCTGGATGGGCGGTCTGGATTATGTTAGATTTGTGATTATGTGATAGAAATTGTGAATGATTATCTAATATGATCTACAGTATACTCATAGGAACCCCAAAAAGATAGAACAAGTAAATTAAGTTATCGTCAAATTATATCAATAGGGATTTATTATGATTTATTTAAGTTCTATATCTTTTTTAAGGGATGACATGGGATGATAAAGGTACAAATTATTAATGATAATCATAACGTCTCCCATGGGATTTTTTAAAGGGAACACCTGTGGATTGATGAATGGCATGATCACTGGCCCAATTGGAGGCCAAGCTGGACATTTGCATCATTGAAGATACCCTCTGGTTATGACTAACATAGCCATGGTATAGATGACCCATAGAAATAGATGGTTTACCTATCAACAGCATGGTGATTTTCCATGGCTATGTTAAATAACCAGATGGTAAATGATAACAGTTCATCGGTTGATCGTTGTTCAAATTGCATCATCACAAACCATCATGAATCATTGAAGCATATTTCGACGACCCTCCGGCAATCAAACATGACAATGGGATATCCCCATGATGGGAAACATCACTAAAGTAAATTATATCAAGAATTGTAATAATTATCAGATTTTCTAGGTCAGGATATTTGTTAAGTTATATATTAACGTACATATTTCACCAGGTTTGCCCAGATTTGCAGCGATAAAAATCATGGATCACACTGAGTGCAGGTCGCGGCAATGTGGGCATGATCAAGACCTGGGATCCGGATCAGGTGAAGATCCCAGTCGCATTTTCAACGATTTGCTAAAGATATTTAATAGGCCTAATAGGCTTTATATATCTTTATATTGCCTATAATGGCAGGGATCAAAGATCTCATGAATTCTTATGGTTCATATTAAGTGTCATCATGGATATTGCGTTTTCGTAGCTGCCTGTAGATATCACGCTGCACCAATTGGCCGTTCAATTGTCACATCAAACATGGTGCGACATCCACACCCATGCCTACTCCTTCAATTGCAACTACCCCCCTTTCAGAAACGTCACTGAGTTTACTTGTCCAATAGGTAACTGAAAGAGTAGGGCCGTAGGGTAACTGTTGTTTTTCTTCCAGTCCCAACCATACCCCACCTGACAATTTTGAAAGACCGCTCGCAGCTTGGTCTCCAATTCATCGGCATCTGCCAACCGTCTCCTTGGGTCTGGCTGATCAACCTTTTTTTCCGCAGGCAACGACTTCAAGCCTCCAGAAATTCGCAGGCAACACCATTGTTATTGAATGGTATTGAGTTACTCTTCTGGTTCTATCACCTTTTTTCCAATATCATTCCCATTTTTTGCCGGAAATCAACAAATCATGGACCCTTGACGCTTTTGTGCTGCTCAGAAGCTCCATAGATGGGGAGAACATCTCCACGAAGTCCTAATTCCGAGGGGTGCCCCAGCGAACGCTCACCGCTGGTTTGTAACCGATGGAACTCTTGGGTTTTATGGGATATCGAACTAGTAGAACTAGTTCTTGGGGATGATAAATGAACTAATGACAAGGGGACACCACCGTGTAGATCTTGGATCTTTGGGATCTTTTGGATCCCTGGCTCTTGATGACGACTAACCGACTGAAATGACGAACCGCCCCATGGCACTATCGCTGGCCTCCAAGAAAGCCAGCCCCAAGGCTGGTAAGGTGTATGGGGACAGCCCCATGAGGTAGCCTGGAAGAAAATCCACGGTCACATCTGACCAAAATGACCCGCAGCACATAGGGCAGATATGCTGAATACTGTATCTCCGCACATTTGGACAGCGGACTTGAAGTTTTTTGTGAAGTATGTAACCTGCATCGTTCTATTTCAGGCCACTTGAGACTTGCTTACGACATGTTGTTTGCCTCAATGGAGTGAGTTTTCGAAACGATAGCGTTAAAGACCATGGGTCTTTCCCCATGGAATTTTAGGGTGTTCCCTTGGGTTCCAGATGTTTCAATCTGGCAATTTCCCGACTCAGCGTTGAGATGTCGCCGAGAAGCGCCCAATCTCTCGGATGCCAAAGGTCTGCTTGGACTGACACAGCACTTCCCGGAACCGTGCGGTGCCAGCCCCCTGAACTCGGCTCGACCAGCCTGCCATAGTTGACCATGATTCACTCAGTCCATCCACAAGATAGAGGTAGTTGCCAGATAGTTATGAAATATAAAATCAGGAAATCATAGCCACCCACCCAAATCAAATGCAATACAAGTATACATATATTCAATATATATAACTATATATATATACAGTATGTGGTTCGTGAAATAGTAGAACGTTCAAACATATTCCTAGAATTGGCTACTTAGGGAAATACAGGAGACCCTCATATTTGGACGGTAGCAAAAATTGCCGAATCATCTTAATTTTCATTGATCATGTGTCAATCTTTACTGCGAAAGTTTCATCAACGGGGATGGGTCAAAACCCATCAAACCCCTGGTAAACAATTGGTAAACATCAAAGTAGCTGGTTAATGGATGTGAATAATCTCCTACTTAAATGGTATTCAGATGTATTGATTCATAGCCAAATACGTCAGTGAAAGGCTTTCCCCCCAAGTTTTTTGAGTTGGTCATAAACCCCATTAACATCCATATTAACTATAGAGATATATATCACCTATAAACCATAGTTTATTGGACTTATTTGCACCAACTTATATCTTCTATAGATTTGGATTTCTCTGAAAATCGGGTACCCAAAAATATCCCAATGGTTGATACGCCGTTGTTCCCACGAACTTTCCCACGGAGATTTCTGAGGAATGGGCACTCAAACCATTGGCCAACGTACAGATCCTCAAAGTGAAGCCTGGGTGACCACCTACCACAGATATAGATAGAGGTTGGTTTACCATCCATTTACCCTCTGGTTCTGACTAACATAGCCATGGTATAAATGGCCCATAGAAATAGATGGTTTACCTGGGTTTACCTATTAATAGCATGGTGAATCTTTCCATGGCAAACTGTTAGTCATAACCAAGGGCCTTTTTTGGGGTCACCTCTGGGGTGTGGAATCTGCAGAATCCCCACGATGCATCGCATCGGCAATCGAAAATGGAGACGACTCGTATCCTTAAGAAATTATCATAGATTGTCATTCAGAACAGATCAATAGATCAGTTAACTTCCTCTGATATGCGTTTGACATGAACGTGAAAACACTTGTGGTTTTGCGTCTGCTCCATCTTTTGTCTTCGACGAAACGCCTTTACCTTTGCCTTTGGAGCTATCAGTGCATAATGGTGCTCTATCAGCCTATTGCCGCAGATCTACCTTTGCCCAATCGGGTCGTCAAAATTGGGTGCTCAATGTGGTCCCCTGGGAGTTTTGACTCATACCCTTATCCTGCCTATATAAATGATTCTGCCTCACTCCCATTTACCCTGGTAAACCCAAAATTAACCCAAATATAACCCAAATAAACTTAAATCATAAACCTATATAAACCTAATGTATCACTTGGGGAGGATGATTCTACCCTCTAGCAAAATTGAGGCACTGCTCAGGGTAAACCTCTGGAACCTCTGGATCTCCAAAACTGGCTTGCAGTTTGAGGCACTGCTCAATCTTTGCGCCCTGCGAGATGGGACCATGGGGTCATGGGGCCATGGGGCCATGAGAAGTCCATCAGATTTCTCAGCATTTGGGGTGTGATTTTGGGTTGGATCGTTGGATATGCTTGGATCATTCCAGACTGAATGCGATTGAATGTGATTGATATATGTATATATATCAATAGAATTCAATAGATTGTTTCTAGATGTTTAGAGTGATTACAAAGATACTTTAAATGATACGAAATCAAAATCCCACGCCCCACACCTGTGTTTCGAGCCACTTGCATGCTCGCTGCACTGCCATTCTCTGACCCTCACCAATGCTGGAAATCAGCATTTCCTGGACCTCATATGGGGATGAACATGGATGAACCATCATCACCATGATGCTTTAACCAACAAAAAGTTATGCGGATATAATCAGGATATATATATATATATGGATATTATTATCTTATGATGGGATATATTATCTTATATAATTTCTTATATTATCTGGAATGGGATACCAGTAAAATTGGGCTAACTTTTCGTGCAAACATGCAACATATGGCCAGCTGGGAAATCCCCGAACGGGCCAGTGGAGGTCTCTAGCCCTGAAAATCATCGAAGTGAATGGGTGCTTTTCCTGGCGATGTTTGATAACACCGGAGGGTACAGCGTTTCTGCCCACAGCTGTGACCAGTCACGAATCTCTTCAATTTTTAATTTCTCTAGCTACTTCGACCCTCCAAGTACCTCAAAACATGGGGTATGATATAGCCATTGTTTTGGGACTTTTACCCAATTTTATGGGTACTTGAAAGTTCTAGATAGTTCAAAACATCCTCAACACAGGAGGAACTTCTGGCTTTTTGTTCCAAAGACCGAGCCACTGAAGTCACCGAAAAACGGCCTTTGAAGGATAGACATCCCACTGTGAGGCTTCCTAACTCGATCTCCTGTGGCAGGGCGAAGGAAAGGAAAAGGATGGAAAAACTCCACGCTTCGGTTGGGGGATCAAAAACCTTACCCCTTAAGATCTCTTCAAATGGAACCATTAACAAAATTCTCGACTTAAAAAGTAAGAGAACTGATTTCCCTTGAGAAGAGCTGTTCAAAGTGAAACTGAGGTAATACAGTTTCAAAAACTCAGGAAGAACCTTGGAACATCTCTGCTGTGACCAAAGCCATGTCTGACATCATCCCGGGCTCCTTTCCATGCCAGGGAGGACAGGCCCGGTATTCGTGAGCCAAGTGATCCTGGCGAAAAATGCTGAAACCATGACTTTGACCTCCCAAATACTGGAGCTTTCCTGGCTTTCCTGTAGACTTTCTAAAAAAAAAACAGAAGATAAGCAATTCGATTGTCTGGACCAAGACCCAGATCCCTTATGGCCTTATGGGCTCTTTATGTTCCTCCGTTTGGCCTTCACATTTTTTCGGGCCACGCCCAGGCCCATTCCTCCTGAGGATCTGGAGGTCCCGCTATGATTCGCAGCAAGGGAAGCAAGTCTTCAGCGTGACGACAGACCATTCCCATTTGGCAAATGCGGCAGACTGCCTGGGCCAAAAAAAGTACCGGGACTGACGGATGATGATGATTGATGATGCTTGATGATGGAATCAAACTCAATGACCATAGTTAGCCATAGTTGATGGCTTCCTTTCAAAATCTAAGGCTCTAAGGCGTCCAAATTATGCCAGGCACATTTTGCCAACGGGAAACAACTCAGAATGGCCACTTGAAAAACGGATCGGCCACGGTCCAAGTAGGTCCAAGTTATCCGTCCCAGGGACTCCATGAAACTCGTCCAAGTGAGTGCCCAGGTTTGGGCAAATGCCGCCAGTGGGTTTATGACCGAACCTGACACGAAAAACGAAAGCGCAAGATGTGAAAGATCTGCGCTGTCAGCTGGTGGAACGGGCTGAGATCTTTGAGAACTCGAGAGGATTCTGACTTCAAAAAGACACCTCGGAGATACATACAGTGGACAATGGGTCCAACATATGAATTAGTATGAATTAGTATAAATTAGTATACCCAGTAAACCCCAAAAATTCATCAGAAACCCTCCCCACTTTCCCCATGGTTAACATACGAGCTGCAGCCCATTGAGCAACGCCGGAATCCGCGTGGATCCTCCGATGTCCGCCGTGAGCCCCGCGGGACTTCCACAGGCCGCCACCAGCGCAGCCGTGCCGCCACTGGAACCACCAGGGCTCAGGTGGAGGCCCCAGGGACTTGAACTCCGGCCGTACCTCAGAGGGAGAAGGCTATTTCATGGGTTAAACATCACAAAAAATGGGTTAAACATCACAAAAAAGATGGGTTAAACATCACAAAAAAGATGGGTTAAACATCACAAAAAAGATGGGTTAAACGTCACAAAAAAGATGGGTTAAACGTCACAAAAAATGGGTTAAACATCACAAAAAATGGGTTAAACATCACAAAAAAGATGGGTTAAACATCACAAAAAAGATGGGTTAAACGTCACAAAAAAGATGGGTTAAACGTCACAAAAAATGGGTTAAACATCACAAAAAATGGGTTAAACGTCACAAAAAATGGGTTAAACGTCACAAAAAATGGGTTAAACGTCACAAAAAATGAATTAAAAATCACAAAAAATGGGTTAAACGTCACAAAAAATGGGTTAAACATCACAAAAAATGGGTTAAACATCACAAAAAATGGGTTAAACGTCACAAAAAAGATGGGTTAAACATCACAAAAAATGGGTTAAACGTCACAAAAAATGGGTTAAACGTCACAAAAAATGGGTTAAACATCACAAAAAATGAATTAAAAATCACAAAAAATGGGTTAAACGTCACAAAAAATGGGTTAAACATCACAAAAAATGGGTTAAACATCACAAAAAATGAATTAAAAATCACAAAAAATGGGTTAAACGTCACAAAAAATGGGTTAAACATCACAAAAAATGGGTTAAACATCACAAAAAATGAATTAAAAAATCACAAAAAATTGGTTAAACATCACAAAAAATGAGTTAAACATCACAAAAAATGGGTTAAACATCACAAAAAATGGGTTAAACATCACAAAAAATGGGTTAAACGTCACAAAAAATGGGTTAAACATCACAAAAAAGATGGGTTAAACAGTTAAACATCACAAAAAAGATGGGTTAAACATCACAAAAAATGGGTTAAACATCACAAAAAATTGGTTAAACATCACAAAAAAGATGGGTTAAACAGTTAAACATCACAAAAAAGATGTGTTAAACATCACAAAAAAGATGTGTTAAACATCACAAAAAATTGGTTAAACATCACAAAAAAGATGGGTTAAACATCACAAAAAAAAGATGGGTTAAACAGTTAAACATCACAAAAAAGATGTGTTAAACATCACAAAAAAGATGTGTTAAACATCACAAAAAAGATGAGTTAAACATCACAAAAAATGGGTTAAACATCACAAAAAATGGGTTAAACATCACAAAAAAGATGGGTTAAACAGTTAAACATCACAAAAAAGATGTGTTAAACAGTTAAACATCACAAAAAAGATGTGTTAAACATCACAAAAAATGGGTTAAACATCACAAAAAATGGGTTAAACATCACAAAAATGGGTTAAACAGTTAAACATCACAAAAAAGATGTGTTAAACAGTTAAACATCACAGAAAAGATGTGTTAAACATCACAAAAAAGATGTGTTAAACATCACAAAAAATGGGTTAAACATCACAAAAAATTGGTTAAACATCACAAAAAATTGGTTAAACAGTTAAACATCACAAAAAGGATGTGTTAAACAGTTAAACATCACAAAAAAGATGTGTTAAACATCACAAAAAATGAGTTAAACATCACAAAAAAGATGGGTTAAACAGTTAAACATCACAAAAAAGATGTGTTAAACATCACAAAAAATGGGTTAAACATCACAAAAAAGATGGGTTAAACAGTTAAACATCACAAAAAAGATGTGTTAAACATCACAAAAAAGATGTGTTAAACATCACAAAAAATGTTAAACATCACAAAAATGGGTTAAACAGTTAAACATCACAAAAAATTGGTTAAACAGTTAAACATCACAAAAAGGATGTGTTAAACAGTTAAACATCACAAAAAAGATGTGTTAAACATCACAAAAAATGGGTTAAACATCACAAAAAAGATGGGTTAAACAGTTAAACATCACAAAAAAGATGGGTTAAACATCACAAAAAATGGGTTAAACATCACAAAAAATGGGTTAAACAGTTAAACATCACAAAAAAGATGTGTTAAACAGTTAAACATCACAAAAAAGATGTGTTAAACATCACAAAAAATGGGTTAAACATCACAAAAAAGATGGGTTAAACAGTTAAACATCACAAAAAAGATGGGTTAAACATCACAAAAAAAAGATGGGTTAAACATCACAAAAAATGGGTTAAACATCACAAAAAAGATGGGTTAAACATCACAAAAAAATGGTAATTAATCATAATAAATGATTGTATTTTAATGGGTTTAACCAAGAAACACGGGGATTTAAGCATCAAAAAGCGAAGGTTGGATATGGATGTGGTCTTTTTTAGATATTAGATCTATACCATGTTTGTTTGATACTTAATGGATTTTGATGACTTGGTGACATGAATACCACTTATAAAAGATATGAAAGGAGATATGATGGATAGAAAACTGGGCGTGGACATGAATCAATTTCAAATGCCATTTCAAAGAATAAGGATGCAACCAGTTTGAAACCCTGTTAGATGATGTGGAAATGCTGGTGGTAGTGGTGATGATGGTGATGGTGATGATGGTGGTGGTGAACCACCAGTTTTGATAGTTTTGGATGTTTTGATTGTATACATCAATCATATGGGGCAAACAAGACTTTGACGTAGATTTCAGCATCAAGATCCACTTCGACGATAAGATCACTAATGATGACTACGTGCACCATGCATTGCCCAGTCCGCAAGCAAAGTACACCAAGTTGTAGCTCTCCATCCACATGCAAGCCTGCAGTCACCAGCAGGGGCACCATTTGTATTTGCAAAATGGCAATGGTGTGCTCAAGATGGACACCCAATCCATGGCTCAGTATGATTTCCAGAAGCATCAAAAATGCCATGTCCAAATTTGGAGCTTTAGCATCTCTTCGCCATCTCACCACGGCACCTCTGAGACGTTGCCGGTGCCCAAAACAATGAAGCCCTGGCTCTCGATACGTCGAAGTGCGGGGCCGGCTTTCTGCCCCACGCGACCTCTTCGACACATCAGGCCGTTGGTGTAGGGGAAACCTGGATATTCAAAGGCCTCCTTCAGCAGAATGGGCACGCCTCAGCCGTGCCCTGTCCCTCAAAAGGACACAACAAAAAACGTGTAATGCGTCATCGGTGATTCAACAACATAGAACTAACTCTATATATAATTATATATATAATACATAATATATAGAGTTATAGAGTAGTTAATTAGCAACTAGCCCCAAAACCAGAATTCCCTTTACCCCCGTGCAGCTGGGGCTCCCAAGAAGGCTGGAAGGTCATCCTGCCCGACTGCCACCCGTCGGTCGGCTTCTTCAGCCTCAAAAAATCCACGGGATTTGCCTCTGCTATGTGAGAAGTGTAGAAAAATGTATAGAATAATAAGGATTATTATATATCATAACACATAGACATATAGAAATGATAGGCAAAACTATGTATATACATGTATTACATGTATATGCTGAAAAATAACTACATATATAATATTATATATATACATTATATAGTAACCCCCAAAAGGATTATCTTTGAAAGTAAAATCATGTAGAATCCGATTTAAAATAGTGATAAATATGTTTTTCCATCTTTCTGGGGATCACTAGAATAATATATACATATACATATATATAAAGTCTTTGACACAGATCTGAATCACGCAGTCAATGTGGTGATCGTCCAGCCTCCTTGCGAGCAGCGTCGAAACGTTCAGCGACCAGTGCATTGAGGTGCACCTTGGTGGCAAGGCATGGCAAGGCCGTAGGTCACTGGTGAGCCCACATCATTGACTACGAAATTCAGGGGATCATGGTGAAGAACACAAGAACACCACTATTATCACTATTAGGGTTAATAGTATTAGGGTTAATATTAGGGTTAATAACATTTAGTAAGACTGCATCAACAGTTGGCCTCTACTATTATTAGGCTTATGGCAGGTATTACCGTAGTTTATAATCCGACTTGCTAAGCAGTTACCAGGTCAAGTGATCCTCCAAGAAGGGTTGGTTCAACACCCAGCTGTTGAATTTCATGGGATGATCAGCGTGCTAAAGCAGCACGTGGAGATCAATCCTCGTTTTGATGGTGAACAATTCCCTGTTGATGGCTAAATCCCATGATGCTTACATCGAAATTAATATTCTAAGATATTCTAAGATCACATTGCACTCACATGTACACATAAAGAATCACATTAACATATATATATATATATACATGGTCACCATCATTCACCATCATTCACCATCATTCACCCGTGTTCACGAAAATTCTCCGACATTCCACATGCCCCTTAAACAAAAAGGCCAGGACACATCCACTTCTTGGATCCTCTGAATGGACGCCTCCACCAGCTGCAGTGAGGTGACCTCGCCACTCTTAATGGCCTCAGCCATCCTTGTGGCTGACCACTGAAGGAAAGCTTCTCCGAGGCTGCACGGAAGGGGCCTCGAAGATAGCTGGAGATTGCTGGAGAATGATTGAAACCACTGGTGGGAAAAGGAAATCATGGGCCACATTTGCTCAGGAACTAATGAAAACTAATGGTGGCCCTGGGCTCCCCTGCCGTGTTGCCCGGTATCTCCTCAAAAGCTCTGGCAACCTCTGCAGGACTTTCCGCAGAGCATAGATGGCCAGCAGCAGTTTTACAACTTGTGCCGCACGTCGCAATGGCCGCAACTTTGGCAAGGCCAACATGACTCGGCGGGGTTCGACGATTCGAAAATCTGCAGCCAAAAACACTGGTCTCTGAGATGTAATGTTGTAGAGGAACAGGTATTTGAATGATATGCCTATGAAGTCAATAAGATACCCCATTCTTTGATTTGAAATGCTGGATATCTAAAAGCCGCTGGCCGGCCATAACATATCAACGGTTGCAAAATTTTCAGTGGGCCATCTGCATCTCAGGGATTGGCTGTGGTGTTTCGTTGCATCATCCTTTTTGTCAAGCAAAACTGTCCCAGGTTGGGCCTGGAATGCTGCATATCGGATGAAATGGTGAAGGCAAGCGCTGTTGTGATAGAAGCAACACAGACAGCACGGGTCTACCACGAGTGATGGTCGGCAAACGGGCGACACCGGCCGGTCCTCTCCAAAGGAACTGGGTGCTGGGGCCTTTTCCAGAAACATCACCATCTCTGTGACAAAAAGAAGCAACCTGCACAACACAACTCAGAACGGTGGGGCAAATTGAGCCCAACAGACATCGAAAAAACACCTGTTGCCGCTACTGGGAATGGCTGGTTGACCTGAACCTGGCTGGGACATGCTGTTGTTGATAGCTGATTGTTGTTGAAGTCCTTCACAGGTCTTCCAGTAACCCATAGTAACCCTACAAATCAACACAGTCGCCCTTGATTGTTGACACATTATTTCAACTATATAGTATAGCTAAATCTTGCTCAGGCAGTAGCCAGAAACAGAAGCGTCAAAACCACTCTGAGATCCCTTACGTTGCAGAAGGCACCCCTGCAGCCAGCCGACCAGAGTAGTACTCCTGCAATGTCAGGGAGTAGCAGAACGCCAGGAGAGATCTTGTCGATAACACGAAGTCAACTGGCAGTGTGTCAAAACCAATAGTACCCCTTCTGTTCACATCAAAATAGCTGGTAAATGGATGTTCATCCCATTAAAATTGTATTTTCATAGGTATTGATCCATACCCAACTGTTAATATCGTTGAATGAACGGAGATAAATGCTCCGATGGAATTGGCACCGACACAAAGTGGCAATCCTGTGCACTAGTTCAGTCTTTCGGCTATATGCGGATGTCTTAAAACAGGGGGTACCCCCCTATCATCCAAAATCTCGTAGTTTAGTATTAAAACATACTATAGGGTCCCACTTCAAAGAAACAACTATGGACCGTATGTGGTAGGTGTTCAACTAAGAGTTCCTTCTTAAAATTGCCAGCTGCCAGGAGCGGGCCCAAATCCATTGTTCATGGTATTAAATTGCCATAAAATGGTGGCCAATCCAAAGGCTTTTTCAGGAGAAAACCACATCATAAAGCTGGTCAAAGTGTATCCCATTATTATACATTACATACATATATGTGTATATATATATATACTATATACGTATATATTATATACCATTCATTATATCATATAATATCTCAATCTTTTTGGTTTTATGACCACTACACCCCAATTCTTGATTTCATGCCCCCTAAGTCTTCCAGGACAGCTCCTGCTCACCATGAAGCGTTAACGGCCTAAGCCACGTGCAGCCAGGCTTCAACCAGAAAGACCAATTTACTGGGAGAAAAGACACATCAAATATCAACCCTCTGGTAAACGTCAACAAAAAACTATGGAAAATCACCGTGTTCAATGGGTGAATCCACAATAAATAGCAATTCTCAATAGCAAACTGTTAGTCATTACCAGAGGGTAAATAAATCGGAACTTGTATCTACCACCAGTGGTTCGTGGTTCAACCCATTCTATAACTACTCTGAGCTCATCATCCCAAAATCTTTGAATCCACCAATAAGACCATCCAAAACCATCATATCCTCTCCATGTTCAACAATTAGAAAGTTGAGTATCGGTCAAAAGTAGGGTTCCAATGAAGAGTCGAGGTATTAAACTATCCATTTTCGAGGTATGGAAAAAAAATATATATATATCCAATAAATCACCATATTTTTGTTGGTGAAATTCCCATTCAATCCCCCCCGTAAAATCCTCATGGTTCTCCATAAAATCCCAAAATCTTTCCAGATAAAATCTTAGGTTTCTCACTGACATCCACATGTTTCCCACTCAAAATCACCAACAGAAAAACTTTAAGCCGAGTGACGACCCACCAGTGGGCAAGCCTTGCCAAGCCCAGGCCTCGGCAATTTGGGGAAACAGAATGAACATGTCTAGTGGGATTATAGTGGAAATTATAGTGGAGTATAACCTATCAATTATCAACTATCCAGAGGGTAAATTAACAGTTCGACCCTGGCAGATTGATAGGGCTTGGAAGACTAGTTTCCATATCAAAATTGGTGAATTTCAGGGTCTATGTTAATTTACCAGGGGGTATCAATTAAATATAGGATACCTGGTAAGTCAACCGTGACAGTCAACGGTTTAAGCTCTTGAAAATCAACATCTTCAATAGGTAAATCATCGAAGTGAATGGGCCATTTCCATAGCTATCTTAAATTGCTAGAGGGTAGATACTAAAGATAATCGTCTTTTTCAGATCAAGTACTCATATCTAATATACCATATTCTCGAGACATAGGATATATTATATACGTATATCAGATACTACACATATTTATCAGATGCACCTATTGGTGTTGTAGTTTACAATTGACTATAGACTAAAGTGATATATCTAATATTCATCATACTAGATCTATATTATTCTATATTACTTTAATCCTATAAGCTGTATATCTGCTTGGCTTGCGCGTATCTTACTGTATGTGATATGTTTCATGTAATCATCAACTTCAATGGGATGTTGTCCGCGTTATAGGGATCTGATCCGATGAATCATCGACAAATCATCAACCGAAGATTGCTGAATCATCGAGCGGAGGAAGCAGGGTCTATGTTAGGGGAGATATAGAAAGTACCACATGAGTGCATTGATTCAATCATGTTCATTGATTCATACTTATACAATCATTTATGTGTCTTACCTGCATCCTGAAGGGTGGCACATGAAAGAATTTTGTCCCAAGTGATCCCGAATGGGACATGTTGAAGGCCGCATCAACCTTCGTTGATGGGTGTTGAGGGATGATGTTGATGGTTAAAGATGGTTAAACACCACCATTGTTCATTCTTGAACCTCATGTTTTGAATAGGTTTTGGTAGAAAAAAAAAAAAAACTAATCTTAGGCGACCTACCACCAGCTGTGCTGTAAAAATTGCCGAGCAGCCATAAATCGTCTCAGCCAGTCTCGGGCCACCCGCTTCACAGTTCCTTTGGCTTCCTGGCGTTCAAAAAAGGAGATGTTCTAACTAGTGGTTCAATAGTGGTTCAATAGTGGTTCAATAGTGGTTTAATATGGTTTAATATGGTTTAATCTTGCTTCAATAGTGGTTTGAACCACTATTGAACCAGAGGGTTACCCATTAAAACCGCCACATTGAACCACTATTAATGTTGGTAAAAATGGGGTACCCTCTGGTAATGCTGGAAGATCCACATCGCCTCGCTAGCAAGGCGAGAACATGTCCTCTGGTGAAAAGAATCCAGGGTCTGTCAGAAAAACACTGGTTGATCATCATCGTTCCATAGATTTTTTACCATGGCAATTGCTGTGAATTGAAGGCAAAACCATATCATTATCCATATATAATCCATGTAAATCCTCCATTTCTTGGATAAGCCCAGTGAAAGGAACCATCACTTTCGCCAAGGTCTTGTTCCCCAGCCTGGTAGAAGCGTACGGCCATCCGGAGCCAGACCACGTTGGGGAAGCCGCCTGGAGCTGTATCAACTGCCGAGTTTTTCCACTGCTGTGCCCGGCCGTGCCCGGCCGTGCCTTGCTTGTTCCCTGGGATTCTGCGAGCTTTGATCCACATCCTAAGGATGGCTCCCGCTACCGACGACTGTAGCTCCGCCCATTTTGTCCAAGATTGTCCAATCATATTCCATCCCGACTATTGTCCATTGTCCATCCAATATCATCCAATCATAAACACTATCCAATATTGTCTATAATAGATTCCTATTCAGAATACTGCAGCTTTTTGGATGCCATGCGGACACTTCGAACACTTTCCAAACAAGCGATATGTTTTTCTGCTTTTTTGGTGTCTTTATGGCCGTGACATGGCATTGATGTGGATAAATCATAGAACAAAATTCACTACCCTGACAAAATGCCAGTTTTGGATAGTTTATCGGATAGTTTTGGATACTTCCCTCTACTAACCACAATTTGAAAAAGCGATCAAGTGGTTCCGTGGTTCAAAAAGAAAATTTGTAAAACGGAAAAAAAAACAGAATATCCCAATGATCTCATGATGTCATTCCCATTTTATCCCCATTTTATCGCACCAGTTTTCTTGGTGCCGCCACTGACGCCACAAAAAGGACGGGCTCCCGGGTGCTCCCGCTTCAACAAGCGAAGGGTGGCGGACAATTCGGGACCAGCCGTGCGCCTCGGTGGAAAAGTATGGATCTAGAAGTTTTGGAAGGTTCCACATATTATGTTATTATTATATATTATATTTAATATTTTTCTATGGGAATATATTATAGTTCCCTATATTATAAAATATAACACATATAATAACACGTATATGGGAATTACATATTATTATTATATAATATGTGAACACATATTAATGTAATTCCCATCGTATGAAATCTATATTTGTAGAATATTGGATATCATTAATATATGAACTATGATTGGTGGACAAAATCCACTACTTCTTGGTCGACATATTTAAATTAAGTCGCTATGTTAGCTTTCAACCTCAAGGTTCTTGGTGACTTAGAGCCACTGGTTTCATGTAGGACATACCCTCTGGTAATTTAACATAGCCATGGAAAATGGCCCATTTATAGTGAGTTTTCCCATTAAAAATGGTGATTTTCCATAGCTATGTTAAATAACCAGAGGGTAACTGCTGGATGACATCCTTAGTAAGAGACAAGGCATAGCGGAATAGGATAATGTCTCGAATGGAGGACATCTGATTCCTCAGTGCAACGGGACCCAAGGGGACCCCGGGGAGGAGCGGAAATCATCGGAAATTCATGGCCTGATTTGGCTGGCTGGTCCGGGATTTAACTCATCCACAGTCATGAAATGTCAGGAATACATAGGAATACCAGATTTTGCTGCTGTAATCAGGCAGAATCCACAATGACAGTAAGCAATCCCAGTATATCTCCTGATCATAGTTTTTGGGCCACCACTCACCGGAAAGTCGCAACTCGACTGCTTGGTGAAAGACTTCCCAGTTGATTTCGCTGCTTCAAAAACGTCGCCGGCGTTTGTTATCACTCAAAGACTTAGAACCAAACATCGTAATGTCCACAGATAGTCCTGGCAGGTCAGAAAGGCAGATGGAACAGATGGAACAGTAAGTGCCAATATGGCTATGGATCAATACCTATACATACCATTTTTAGGGGAATGAACATCCATTTACTATTTTTATGTTCACCAGGGGTACAAGGTTTTGACACACTGCCAATATTGCCAATACTTTCTACAGCAACAGTTGGCTTGGGGTGGATCTTCCGTGAGATTTTTGCAACATGTTGCAACTAGTTATACCGACTCATACTGCATGTGTAGCCCCAAAATTTTCACATCATGAACAAGGCGATGTCAACAAAATGTCTGATCATGACTGAAAGCAAAATGTCATTTCTATCAAATATCAACAAAAAATGTCATAAATATGTCATAAATACGTCTGCAGCGTCCTCCAAGGCGAAAACTGAGCAATGGAACCAAGACCTGCGATTGCACGCACAGCCAACTTGCCTCTCAATCGCGGGCCATCTTTGTAAGGGGATATCCTCCTTAGATTCCCATGAAATCCCGAAATAAACCGAAAGAAACATGGGATTTCCATGGGAATTCCAGATTTTCCCTGTCGACGTCGACGTCGACCCATCACCTGGTCCAGCAACAGCAAATCGCTCGCCTCACCTGCCTCGGCCGTGACATAGTCACAACATCATCGTCACAAGATATACCTGGGATTATGCTATGATGACATAATATACCATAATGCCATAATTGTTATACCTAACATTAATATAGATTTATATAGTATAATAGCTAATATCAATTGTAATGTATGACATCATAACATGATTGTTGGTATATTAGACCTAGTAGATATATTGTAAATAACTATGTTTTCGATGATTCTATAGTAACACTGTTGACATTGTAATATGTTGAGTAGTATTCTATAATGAGTATCTGCCGTAATCTCTTTTGTAAATGTTCGAATCTAAGACTTTGCTTCATCCATATTCATCCAGTAAAGCTTCATCCAATATGATGAAGCTTTAGGCCATGGATCAATGTCATATAAACCCCCATTCAGATGGTTCACTGGTTGGTGGTTTCAATCCCTCTGAAAAATGATGGACTTCGTCAGTTGGGATGATGACATTCCCAATATATGGAAAGTCATAATCCGAATGCTCCAAAGCACCAACCAGTTCAAGTCTAAACATGACCCAATGAGCTGGCTCTTCACCCCTCAAGTCTCGACGCATCAATGGCATCTGCTGTAGATTTACATGTCTGTGTCACTCAGCAGTCTCTGATAAAACAAGAAACAACATATAATTAGGTGCTTCATTTCTGTCCATATCCACATTATTTATCATTATTTCATCATAATCCACATGAAAAAGTTTGGGCCACACTGGCCACATCCTACACCACTAATATGTTACTCTTCATTTTCCCTGGGCTTCCCCGTCCTCCTGCAAAGCATCTCGCAATGCAGGCAAAGCCATCCTGGGGTCCACCTAGCCAGCTGATTGCGGGAGAATCCTGTCCCCACGTCCGAAACTGAAGCTGGCCTCCCGTAAATGCTTTAAAAGTCAACACCTTGTAGAAGACACTTAATGTTCTGACATGAAATTATGAAACTGATGATATTAAGTAATTCCAGACAGAACCATGTTTAATCAAGCATGGCAGAAAGCATGGCAGGCTCATGACACATGGCAAAAAAACAGGTCCGTGCAATGCCCCGCTGCCCTGCCTCAATTTCGCAACACAAAACAAGGTCCAGATCAGACCTGATTAAGGAGCTTTCACTCGATCTGAATTGATCTCAATAATTCTCAACAGATCTATTATCAATCTCAACATATCTGACATATCTGCTATCAATAATCAACAATAATCCATGATAGAATTGACCAGACATATCCACATTCATCTATCTCTAGCCATGGATTGCCGGAAAATTCTGCCATCAACTCAGACTGGGACCCGCCAACATCAGCACCTAGACCTCGATGAGATCTGAAAGCATTAAGAAATCATCAGAAAAAGCCTACGGTTGGTAGGATTGGTAGGATTGGTAGGATTGCTAGGGATGGATTGGTATGGTAGGATTGGTATGGATGGATTGGTATATGGATGGATGTTGGTATCAATGTCCTAATATCCATTACGTTTGGTATCCGACCCAAAAAAAACGGAAAGGAAAGTCACTGACCGAATCTCACCCAGCACAACCAGCTGAGAAGCACACCCATACTCCCAGCCACCACCAGATGTAGATCACCCAATATCTCTAATGACTGAGCCTCACAGGATGACTACAAATCTGGTTGTTGCTGGGTTGAAACCAGATTTCTTTCTGTGGAGGATTTATTACTGAAACACGCATTTCGTGCTTACTGCCATACCATAGATGAGAATCTGCAGGGACAACTGCAGCCTGCGTGTGTTTGAATCGTTCCTGAGTTTCTGACTACTTTGAGTATCTTGGAATGCACTTCCTTCCTGAGGTGACATGCGCTGGCAATTCGAGACAAGAGCATACATTATTTTATTATATCCAACAGTTTAACAACAGTTTTTGCTGTTTCTGAAGAAAGACCTCGATGATGTAATCAAGGAAATATATCGGACATATTAAATGGACACATATCAAATCAGAGGCCAAATGTTCGTATTCTCACTTGGTTTCAAGAGTGACCATCCGGGAGAACAATGCTCAACAAGCTTCACTTGCCATGGGAGCGGCGGCAGAGGAGACGGTGCCGGCGCAACGGTGCCATTCTTCGCGCTCTCTATGATGTCAGCCAGTGGCAAACCCAAGTCACAACATTCGCAGAGCGTTTCCAGCATTTTTCCTGGGCGAATGGTCACCAAGTGACACCTCTGAGCTAAGGAAAAATGGGGAATTAGCCAACAAAGTTCGGGATTTGATTTACTGGTTTTCTCGTGACTCGACGGAAATATGATGGACAATTCCCAATTGATAATGGAAAAAATCTGTTTTTATGGTCACCCCAGGAGTAGTTGGGGGATGTAAAAACCAGACATGGGGATGGGGTGACTGTCATCATTGGTTGAATAGAGGAGTTTTCTACATGGATGAACCAGTATAGGGATAGTGTCATGGAGACTAAACCGGAGTTTACTAAAAAAAAAAGGGCTTCCCCAAAGTGATCATCTGCTAGTGAAATAGTAGTGAGATGCAGTGAGCTATTTAGTTTCACATATTTCGGACCAGTACTGACTTGATTTTTTGGCACACATCTGCACCCGGAATGCGAAGCCGGTTCCATTAGCATGTGGACAAGATCATATTTTGGAATCAAAGCATCCTACTTTAGGGGGTTTACTCGATTTTGACCCACCCGGTTTTGGGTTTCCCCAATGCAATCATTTGGAGTGTCCTCAAAATGATGGACACTAACCCCCTAATCATCCAAAGCTAAACTATTTAGTCGTATATACAAACAATGGTTAGAATATGTTAGAATGGGGTTCCCCATTTTAGAACACACTGATTGTATTTCAGCTGAGAAAAAAACATGGTCAAAACGGGTCCCCTATTTTAGGACACACCCATTGTTGACACTTTGTTTCAGTGCCCAAGGGTCTGAACGCACCATGCGATTGCTCATCCATCTGGTCATCTTTTCCCTTGAAGGCGGCTTTGTGGTCCGGCGAATAAACTGCATGAATACCTCGCTGCAGGGACCACACATGTTGGGAACGCTGACAAGAGCATCACGAGTAATTACTTAGAGTATTATCAAAAGTAATTCAAAAGTCCTGTACCGAAAGAAATAATCAATATTACCAGAATGGACAGTTGCGCGTCTTCCCACAGTTACCTTACCTTCACAGTCTGCTCTATCCTGGCGTTTCGTTAAACATGTTGACGTTGCTGGTGTCGTCTGTGAAATAGAGCAGGTGCTCCCAGCTCTCACTGTAACGACACTTTCATCTTGAAGATTCTGCAGTGAGGAAACCTCGGAAACCTCGGAAACCTCCACTTTACTATTATAAGTATCTTTATAGCTAAATGGCCAGCTTCCCAAGCTATCACAACCAGGGCTGTCAAGGCACATTGAATCAAGCTGTTGAGATCATCAAACATCCGTTGGTGCCACCAGACGAACCCCCAGAGTTGAATCCAACATCGATGACGACGCGAGATGGGCACATGGAGATAGCGACATTTGGACTTGAAACACCCCGCAGGGGTCTGAGCAGCCCAACAAACACTGGTCAGTTGCAGGGGAACTTGTTCATCTTGAACTTTGCCATGCGAAACTTTCAAGACTTCGCCTTGGAGAAACCGGAGAAACTCATAGACAGATTATAACTTACTGAAGGTTTTTAGTATACCAATAGAAGAAAAGAGCATGGCAATATCAGTTAAATATTAACATTGTCAAAATGTACCATTAAACTAGTCATAATCATTAAAAACAATATAAATAACCTATAAGTATGAATAAAGACCATTCGTCACAGCTAGATGCGTGGTTATGGATACCAACAATAACAATAATCATTTGGAAATGTCATTATAGTAAGATTGTCATTAATATCCATTAATCGCAATCTTTAAAGGTGGTACTTAATCACTATTATCACATTCATCAACCCTCACTCATATAATCATTAATCATTAAAAACATGTAACATACTGTGAATTATTTACAATCATCTTCCATGATTATCTTGATCTTGTGAACTCACCATATTTCTCCAAACTTCTCCACGTCTATTCGCAGCGAACGAGCTGTAAAATCCCTTGGATCCCTTGGTTTACCAAGCCACGTAGCTGTCGAATGCTCTCCAGCGCCGAGGTGTGATGGATGAAGATTCCTCCGCGCGCCTCCCAAGCCTCGCGCAGGTCCCCGCGATCGTCGATCAACACACAGTTGGGACCGCTGAACTTCTGCTTGTTGCCTCGGTAAAGAAGCCATGGTTTAAAGCCATGGAAAAAGATGGGATGTTCATGGGATAACCCTTGGGTTTTTCATGGTTTTTCCGTGTCTTTTTGGACGTTGGGATGTTGGATGGGATAACCCCACGGTAGAACCGGCTTTTCGCAACCAGTAATGGGTTCATGCATCATGGCGCAGGCCTCCCAAGCCTTGGCAGGCTGTCAGGAGCCTGGGATTCTGGGCATGCAAAAGGGGATTTCAAGCCGGTCATGGTGGGATACACCCAACTGGACCATACCTGGACAGACCTGCACCAATCTGCACCATACCTGGACCCCAACATCTGAGTTTTCGCTGTGTCCAAGCTGCGAGTGCCACAGCAAAACACTGCCACATGGGATCCAAGCCGGTCATGACACCATTGCTCCTTCTGTTTCGAAGCCATCTGCCCTGCCCGACCCATCGGCAAACCAGTTAAAATGGCGGGTGAAGGCACCAAGTTCCAATCGATCCATCTCCAAAGTTCTTCACCTAAGCTGGTAAAAGTTATCCAAAGGATCCGAATATCCCAAAAAAACATCAAACTAGCAAAGAGACACCACTTGAAAAACTCTTTTTCAAATGTCAAACGCTACAATTTGTGGATCCAGTTTCATGGAAAATTTCTATAACTCCCACATATTGTAACCCCGCAAGCTGCACCAGCTAGCTGTGGCAGGTCACCTTTTGGGGGAGCTGGTTGAATCGCCAATTTGAATTGGCCGCCTGGGCGCGCCACATCATTGATGATATCCAAATTTACTGTTGGTTATATCGCATTTCTTGCTCCTTTCTCGTTGATCATCATCGTTACACCATATTCTGACATGTTTACTATATGTCGATCCATATGTAGATGACGGTTTGTCAAAATGTCTTTGTCTGGTTTGGTTGATAAATCGAAATTCCATATGTGCCGCTTCATATTTGAATTTTAAAACATATGACTTGTCTGGATAGTCTGGGGCCCTGCATGTTATCTTTTATGTTTGAATTTGATTGGCATCATCAGCTTACGACTATAACGATAAAGCCATTTGAAGATCAGAACCATGAAATATACAATGAAATATACAATATACATCAGTTACTATAAGTTCCCATGAAATATATAGATCTAGTATGATCTAGTAACTTATTTAGTAATGTATTTATAGTAACATTCAGTAACTATGATCTAGTAACTTATCTAGTGACTATGATCCAGTAACTTATAGTAACATTCAGTTCAGAGCTGATTTTTGATGCGATCAGAGACCCGTGGCATCCCGATTTTTCCCATGGACTTTTTCCAGGTCGCCATCGCTGGTCCAATCCAACGAGAGGAAGAAGTCGGATTTCGCCTCGACACGGCGCCACATCTCCGTCTCTTCGTCGTAGCTGAGGCGAGTGACCTGGTTTTTTGGATGAAAAAACACCACTCAAAACCCATAGGATCCATGGTGCTGCTATAGATGGTGTGCCATGGATCCCATCAATATACCCCCTTTATGTTAGCATATATACCAGCGCCATGGATCCTATGGGAAATGGGAATTTCAGAGGATTTTTAGACAAGGTGGTGCCCTAGTTCGTGAACGCTAAGTTGGTTTATAAAAAAGTCCCATTTCACTATGGTTTATGGCAGATATAACGAACTAGTTTTCATGGGGTTTATAAACCCACTTATAACTGGGGGGCACCATCCTGTATCGATGTTATGCTATTTTATCGGCAAAAATATGGCAACATAATGCAACATATATGATTATCTTAAATATTATCAATAGGTTGGTTTAATGGAAAATATGCAGGAAACGACTGGCTGAATGGGTTATAGTTATAACAATCCCGAGAAAATAGTCTCTAGATTCTAGACATTTATCGGGTTCCCGTAAGATCCCATAAGAAACTCATATATAAACATTATATCTATAGAATGGGGCACGGCACAGATGATGCTTGAGCCTTAGGATGAAGGTGGCTTTTTTTGCGGGTCCACTGTTGGGCAGATTTTTTTTACTTCTAAGCCACTAGCGATATCATCCTGGGAGCTTGCTCCTTGGGATGATGATCATTACTGATCCATCCTCGATCAGTGAAGTCAAGAACTGGTTCCCATGCTGTCTGACCTGTTTGACCTGGGGATGGGTCAAAACCCTGGTACCTAGTGAACCCCAAGTCATAGCTGGTAAATAGATGTTCATCCCACTAAAATTGATAGTCATAGGTTTTGACCCAACCCCACCTGTTGAAATCTGTTGGACCTGTATTTCCAGAAGCCGATTTCAACCACTTCAACCAGGCACCAGATGAGTCGGGATCTTCTCAGCAATGGGTCCACCTTCTGGGAACAGCTCCAGGCAGCCCTTGTTGAAATCCGCCAAGACGCCATCCAAATCGCAGTAGACCTGCGATTCTTTTTCAAGTCAGATTAAGTGATCATCCCAGGTGGAAGGACATATATATGTGATATATATATATATATACATATTATACATATATACATATTGCCTTACAATTCCTGAATTTAGCTGAGGCGAGCCGCAAAGGATCAGTGTGCTTGTGCAAAAAAAATTGCCTTACATACAAAAAATACATATTATGATCATACTAGTATTATGTAATTACATGTAATTACATATAATATTACATATAGATCGAAATATAGCATTTGAAACCGCCAACCAGTGTTTCCGTCAAATTCCACTGGGTCTTGCGTCTGGTCACAAAAAGGCCTACAGGTTCGATCAGATTCTATCCTGCCAAGACTATGCTTTATACTCTGTTCTTCAATACCTCCAGCGCACAGAAGTCAATCAGGCGTAACAACCTAAACGGTCTAAAATGTTACAGCAGACCTATGCAGGAGCCAAAAGCTTCTGTGAAAGTAGCTGATGCGCCTCCATTTTGAGGTCTCTCTCTCTCTCTCTTTATTCGGAAAACTTTGCGTCATAATCCCTGTGCAGTTCAAACAGCTAGTGTGGATCACTGTGGACCTCTCACTTTTGAAATTCATCTTGCGGTACATACTTGGCTTCAATTTTCAAGGTCTCAACAGATTGTTTACCCTCTGGTAATTTAACATAGCTATTGAAAATGACCATTTATAGTGGATTTTCCCATTGGAAATGGTGGATCTTTCCATAGCTATGTTAGTTTACCAGAGGGTAACAGTCATCAACCAGCATCTGAGACCTGCAAGCCCGTTGGCTTGGTCTCTTCCTTGGCATCCTGCAGGTCCTGCCGTTCGCAACCCTTCGGCACCGCTGCGTAGGGACCACAGAGGTGCGGCGAATGGAGACCGGCTTGGAAGCGGGGCATCGACATGGCATGCCATGAGCGTTTCCGGCGCTGGTTCAAAGAGACTTTCCATAGAAAATGAAGGGATCTCAAGCCACGAGGATACCATAGGATACCCCCAAAATTCTATATTTTTATCGTTTTAATATATCGTTTTATGATGTTTTATGATAATGATTGTGATATACTGGGGGGAAATTTCAATAGAGGATGGGATAAGTGGTCCAAGTTTTCAGACAACTCTGTGTTAATAAAATTACTGCAGCTGTTCGAGCAATGCAAGCAGAGTAGGCTCTCATGCCAGTCTGGCAGTGGCTCAATGCCATGAGTGCAAAGAAGCGAGCCTGAAAAGAAATCTAAATGGCATGCCTCTGCATCAGCAAATCCAAATTCTTTTTGCAACTATTCAGACTCAGAATCGATCGCGGGGCTTTCCGGCTGCTCCGGCAGCATCTCCACTGGGGAGTCCGAAAATGATTCCCCGGGCGATGCCTCGCGGGGCGGGCGCGTCTCTCTCCGCGGAGCTTCAGGAACTTCAGGTGGACCTGAACATGTGTTCCAAATCTTCAGCAACTTCCCATCTTCCAGCAGTTGAAACCCTCGAAAAATGTTCTCCAAAGAGGAATCCATCTCATCTCCAAATTCCAAGAAAGACTAAGGGCCTTGGCCGTCATCGATCTCTTCTGGGGGAGGAACCGCTGCCTGAAGCTATTGGATTGAGCTGGTAAAACCATGAAAATTGCACTGACCACATCCAAAATCTCCAAAGGAGATTTTGGTGCAGTTTAAGCGTCAAAGGCTCCTCGCAATCCAAAAATTCATGTATTCCATGGATTTCCAATGGATTTCCATGGTATCGTTTCTGCATCATTCTTCTGGGACCTCACAGAGTTACCATCAGTTTATCGGCCTGTTTATCAGATATCGTCAGGTGCCGAATCACAGAATATGATTCGGCAAACATCACACACCGATGATAGAAAGTCCATGATTTTTCTAACGGTGAAAGGCTCCAGCCTCCCCGTAGGCCAAGAGAATCCCCAAGGAAGTTCTGAGGGTGACCTGCCGGCATCCAATGATTCCATATGTATCTACATATAATTATAATATATATAATATATAATATATAATATATATATATATATGGGGTCTTCTCTAAATTCCTTTTCCCGGATTCGGACGAAAATCACATTCATTGCGTGTTTACAGGACTCCGCCTTTACGGTTCAATTGTCCCAACAGACCTCAAACATGAGTGAAGAAAGTTGTGAATGATTCCATTATGACCATGAACATCTCCCAAATGAACATAGACCCTGCCAAACACGAGCTTTGAACTTGGAAAACGACATTCGAAAAATATTGATGCTAAGGTCTGTGTTTGTTTCGTGGCATCATTGCCATTTCTATCACCATCATTTCATGGTAGATTTTTTGGGGAATCCCAATGCTCGATGGCTGTTTGCTTCCCGCTGTTTCGATCGCATGAAGTTGTTGCTTCCATGAGCATCGACTAGATTATATAAATTATATATACCATATACAATTAATATCTTATACATACATGTTTTGTTATTACACTATTGGATTCTTTTTATGAACATATCCATGCCACTCCGCGCTCTACGGCCCTCTTCGCCTGCAAGTTCACTGAAGGATTGCGGGAGCCCTTTGCCTGACCATACTTCGGACATGCCGTGGTTATGCATGTTTTGTATTGTTTTGTGCCTAAAGTTCTTGAAAAGTTCTACAGAACCTATATAAACTTCTCAAATCACGTTCCCAATCATCATGATGATCCAGGAAATTTCCCACTTGTCCAAGTCCACATGGCCCAAGGGTTTCCAAGGTGCCCTTTTCAATTCCATCGTGAATTAAAACACAGAAAATCCTATGGCTCTAAAAAACAAACATCATTGCTTCAGAATCAGAAGCCATGGCACGAAGCAAGACACATGTACAGCAAACGCAGACAGGTCCAAAGGAGATGCGATGTACTCGTGCACTGATGTCTACACTGGTGGCAAGCCGAAGCCATGATCGCGTGGAGTCACCCAGCATGGAGATACTGCGATCGCGTGACCACTTTCACGTGGATCCCAAAGCTATGTTCAAATTCAAAGATTTCATACAGACACCACATCCAGGAGCAGCTTTTGCCGTTGTTTCAAACAGGTTGAGGTGTAATATAGTATATAATTCATACACATTTCATACACCATGGGCCACTGTATCCTAACATCTTCTAGGATTCTAGGAAAGATACCCTGTAGCGAACAGATCCCATTTGGACAACACAACCTGGGCGACTCACGGGTTTTTTCCGCAACCCCCTTCTCCCACCTGCTTGACAAGACTTGGGAACAAAATTGATAGCCGCACATGCAACCCGAATCCACTGTCCACCCTGGAGATCCTTAACATACTTTTTGACAACGTAAGATTCATACCTCTGAACATCAAAACGGCAAGGGGACACCGTTTCCACACGACTTCACACAAGCACGCACGACTTTTCACCCAAGCACCCAGTATACTCTAATCCAGTTTATCCAAAGAATCCAACGAAGCAAGACAGCAAGACCCACTCAAAACTGCTTCTTAATGGTCTTATATAATATGTCTTAATGTGATCAAACTTGATTCACCATGATTCACCTGAGTTTTGTGCCGATGCCTGGGTCTGGTCGTTACATCCTGCTGTCTGCGCTGCGGACTTCAGGTGCATCCGGCTGTGAAAAGCCTTGGAGAAATCCCCGAACTAACACAGGGATGGTATCCAGCACGCCGTGGATTGCCAGAGGCTAATACTTTTTTAAACACATACATTAACTTAAATGGTTGTGAAAAAAGGGGGTTGTACTACCTATATACTTTCTTATCTTTCTTGCGGATTATGATAATGTGTTATATTAGTCCTACTGCCCAAGGGGTATTTCATCTTGAATCTGCCGACTCGGAATTGAATGAATTGAACTTGTATCTCGGGAGCTTTGGGCATTTCACTATGAAAAAAGTATGAAAAAGTGGTGCTCTTCCTACTATGACCTCATAAAATGATGGTCGGTGGGAAGAACATGATGGTTTAAGTGTGGTTAAGGACAAAAATGATGGAACTACAATAACTGCATGTCACTGAATCCCCAGTCGTACGGGCAACCTGTCCCAAAGGTCACCGTTTTTTCCAGGCTTCGGCACCTGGTTTATCACGGTTCCACTCTTATTCTAACGATTCGAAGGTCTTTTTTCACGGTTCCAATGCTTAAAAGTCAGGGTTCCTGCCGAAAATTTCTCCGATCTCTACATCAAACCAACTTGTTCCGGAAATCATGGTGAGTTACCTGGTTAGTTACCTGTCTTGCAACGCGGGGTTCGGTCGCTGGGCTTCCCTTCCAATGGGGGCTGTCCCGTGATCAGAGCGAAGCGTCGTGGAACGGTGAACTCCACCTGCCGCCAAGGGATGCAAAAGGTACCAACAGATTGGAACCATTGTCTGAAGGATAGAGAACTATTGTAGTACAATCTATAGTTATAGTATGTTATAGTACGAAATGTCATTGAAAAAGGATTGGAACTGCATTGGAACTGCATTGTAATACATTAATTAGTACATTGCACCTCCATGTTTTTTCCTTTTTGGAGCAGGTGTGCTTATTTCTATTTGCAACAAGTTGGTTTGAACGGGTTGAAGACCCCGCGCCTGGCCCCAGTGATGTATCACCACGATGTCAGTGCTATGCCACGCCTCAAAAGCTTCGATAACATGACATCGCTTAAGCTTGGCTCCCAATTTTCTGAGCTGAAAAGGATTGAAAAGGCCATTTTTTTGCAGCTGTGGCACTTTCCGTCCATGCCAACTCAACCATTGAAACTTGGGGCTATGAGATCGCCACAGATTCCCCAAGACTCGGACTGCATGGATGGCCTCAACTTTCATGGAAATGTGGTCACTGAATTTCATGAACTTTAAATGGACTTTAAATGAACTTCAAAAATCAAGCAAGTCCAACTTCAAGTCCATTCAAGTCCGGCTATGATCTCCACTACCATTCGATAAATCCAGGTAGTCTGATCCCCTTGCGAATCCAGTTGCTGGCCTTGGCGTGGCTCCGCCGCACTCGTCCAAGCAGGATTGGCTCCTGGGGTGGGATCCTGGGGTCATTTTTTAGCCTCCCGGAGTTCTGGATAGCAGACCACAGCCCAAAAATTAAAGGCGAAAGTTGGAGGGACAACAAAAAACACATTAATTATGGAGAAAACGCAACTTTGAGACATGAGATGTAGATGGTAATGAGAATCGATGGATCGATGTCACATGTAGCTTCCAAGATGTTGCAAATTGGCATTGTCTTACACAAGTCCCATCTGTCATCAATGGGACAATGGCACCACCGAGTCGCTGAGTCCCTGGCCCCCTCAATGATGAGCTCTCGGTATCGGCTTCGCTTATAGACCAGCCTCAGCCAGAAGTGCATCTGAATCATCCACGGCGGAAGTTCCAACCCCCTTGAAAAACAACTTAGTCAATTATCATTGGATTGGTTTAAGGGAAAATCTACAGGAAACCATGGTTTTTACCATCACATATAGGGCTTTCCTGTAAATTTTCCCATCATCCAATTCTATGAAATTAGCATCATCATCATCCCAAGTAGATTGCAGAACAAACATATTTCACACAGCCAACTTAAACGTCAGCCACTAAAAACAGAAGCTGATTTCTCGATGCCCAGTGGGTTTTTCATAGCTCCAATGCTGTGACTGGCATTGGATGCATCCGATGCTCAGCCCAAGGCTGACGAGGAGTCACCTTTACCTGTGCAAAATTGTGCAAATCTCAGTGGTTGTCAAAGTCGCAGATATGGTACCCTCTGGTAATTTAACATAGCTATTGAAAATAGCCCATTTATAGTGATTTTCCCATGAAAAATGGTGATTTTCCATAGCTATGTTAAATAACCAGAGGGTATCCCAATTCTGGGAAGATTGGACTGTGGGATTTTTTCGCTGCCACTAATTTC